TTAGCCGATTGCCGGTTCTAAGGTTTCATGACTTATTTGGTGTCAGACTCCCACAATGCAACATTTCCTCTCATGTTTGACCATGAAAACAAGTCAGAGTTCGTCCAACAGGTGACTTCAGCTGCCCAATAAAAACCCTCTTCTGTAAATCAGTCGTTAGGGGAACTAGATGTCAGCATTAAATCGATCTGGCACAACAAATAAACATCGCCACCTCGTGCCACATTATTTGCCGGGGGCCGACGCCGACTGATACCGATGTTGAACCGATGCATCCCTAGTTGCAGGGTGACTCTACGTGGACGAACATGTGAAAGATTTTGTACTTTTGTTGTTTTTAAAGATGTGAAATGGAAAAATGAAGCTCCCTGACGACACTACGATACTTTGAAATCGTGGTCTGAAGTTTGCGAGGGAACCTTTACTCCCGCTCTGCGATGGCAACCAGGTGAACTTCTATCTCAGCCTCCGAGAGCGTCCTGCAGGAGGAAGACAGGAGGGGATGAGGAAAGGTCAACATGGGAGACATAACCATTATTAACATAACACATTAAAAGAAATGAAAATGCACCCGACTCCTGAGTATGTGACACAATATCAAGAGCAGTGTGAGGTTCAGCAAATGTTTGTTCGAGTGAAGTTACCTGAACTTTGGGCTCTCCTTGGTGACTAGCCCGACCTCCAGCTCAGTGGCCTTGAAGTCCAGGGACAGGACCGAGGACAGACACGAGATGGCCAACTGCAAAGACGGACAGAAAAGGTCGACTTTGGTGATTCCGTCGAACACGTAAAAGATTCAGTAAATGTTCTTTTTTGGTCGAGGAGGGTCGCACTGAACGATCTGACAGCGTCTGTGAACATGGTTTACCGTAAATGTCCACCACAGGCCCAAATCATTCACGGAAGTTCAAGATTGTAATAAGAAGGTAATCACCTGCTCACACATGATTTCAGTTATGACACTTAGATCAATGCATAAGGCCCGTGTCCACATAGCGTTATTTCCGGGCAGAAAAGCACTGCTCGCCCGTCCTGTCTCTATGACAACAGTCTGTTAACAACGGCCGCTGTATGACTGACACTGCTCCGTTACTTTAACTGCATGTTTTATATTTGAGAGCATTTATTTCCCGATCAGACACGGAGCGAGGAGGATGCGGGTACAAGACACGATCCGTAGGCGGCAAAACTTCTACAGAGAGATTCTGACGGGCACTGCACTTTTTCTCCAAGATGCAAACGCTAGGTGGACACGGGGCCTAAATGATCCCCTCTTAAAACTAACATACGGATCATAAATAAGGAATTAAGCTGCTTCAGTTAAAGTTAAATGCGTGGAGCCAAAATGATGATGTATGTTCTTCTGTGATGGTCGAGGCCTTCCGACAATCTGTCACTTTTAACGAGGCAGTTAAAATCGTTTCTCTGACATCTCACACGCCCAAAATTAACGAGCAAACGACCAACCTGCACGGTCCGGTCGTGGGTCAGTTCAGGCTTCTTCTTCAGTTTCTTCTCCAGATAGCTGTTGGCCTCCGTTTGTTTGGCGCCCACTGCTGTCGCCCTGAAGCCACAGAAGTAACCGGCGGGGTCACATTTATACAGGACAGGACCCTGCTGGGGGTCGACGGCCGCCATCATCATACCTGCAGAGAGCGGAGGAGGAGGAGGAGAGAGGAAGGATGACACAGACAGAAAAAAATAAAGAAAAGTGCGAGCTTTGAGAGAAGACAAGGGAACGATTTCCCTGCAAAATGACTTATTACTGATAAATACAAACTTGGAAATAAAGAGCAGGATAAAAAAGGAGGTGAACAACAAGACTCACAGCAGCCAAGAGGCCTCATTTCTGCGTTCTGTGTGTAGACCTGGGAGATATCAGCCAACCTGCGACACAATGCGTCCACCGTGATGTCATAACCAAACTTGTATTTCCATTCGCCCGCTTCCAACCGTGCCCGGTGAACCTGAGAACGACTGTCCGCTGCAACGAGCAGAGAAGGAGGACAGTGCAGCTTTATAACGATGTCGTATCAAAATCATCAACAAACAGAAAAGTTCTTTAAATACGACGCCAGATTCTCATAACCTGTGTGGCTGACAAGATATCTGATCCAACGGTGTGTGTGGTGAATAAATACCGTTATGACCAGTCATCACACAGCCGATGCGATGGCTGAGTTTGAACATGTTGGTCACAGTTGAAGGGTCCAGCAGCTTGTCCTGCAGCCAGAAACAAAAGAGAGTCACATCCAGTTTACTGAATCAAACCTTAGTGACAAACATCAATACATCCCATCACAATCCCAGGATGAGTCTGCAGAGGGGCGCTAAACAGGTTGTTCTGCAAATCATGCGCTAGTTCCCCGATATGAAACCTTCAAGCCTCGACGTATAAGCTGGGGAAACCTCTTAATATAGGCTCCCACTTGTACAGTGTTTGTAAACATACTATATTTGGGTAACCTGAGTGTCTACCGACCCACAAAATGTGAAATAAACCCATCCAGTCCTTTGTTTGTGGTCTGCATAAGTCTTACAACACACAGAAAAATGCTCCGTTTCAAATGTGTTCTCCTTGTGATGTCACAGTGGGATTCTGGTAAAATAATTTAAATTAAAAAAAATTACAGAATAAATACATGCAGCTGATGAAGATGTGTTGAGTATGGAGGAGGCGAAATGTGTGAAGCTATCGCCGTGTCTCTGTGCGTCCTGACGCAGTTATTTTCATTAAAACTAAAAACCACACTTGATGATAAATGCTCGATATTGAAAGATATTAATGAAAACTGGAGGCTCTATGGTCTTTGTGTTAGTCTAATGTTTAACTCTACATCAGTGATTACATTAGTGTACAAGTCCTCTGAGGTCCGTCCGGGATAATGAAGGCGAGACACCGCTGATGCATTATGTATGTGGCGGACTTTTATTTTTTGTTTGTATTTGTTTATATAATAATTAAAGAGACTTATTGGAAACGGCTCACTACATGCACGATTATAGTCTAAAGAAAACAATGGCCGTTTTAAATGATTCTGATGACGTGGATCTGTCAGTAAAGTTTGATATTTAGTGAAATAAATTGTGGAGAGACATCAATATACATTCTGCAGGCTTCAATTCACCACTTCGCCGTCTGTGTCGCCAATTTCCCATGCCTTCAAAATGAACGTACGCCTGGGTCAGAGTTTGCTTACCGGTGTGCACATTTTACCGTCAGGTTTGTTTTTATAGATCACAAACTTTGCGTGGGAAAAGGCGTACGCCAGTTTCAGACCCCGTTTTGTGCGTACGCAGCGGTTATAAATGAGACCCCTGGTTTATACAGGGTCACAAACCTCCTCTGGTGCTTGATTCATGTTATATTTTGACCAAAGCACAGCACAGATATTTGAAATGGTGGAAAGGGGAGATAACATGGCCTCTTTAATGGACGATTTGGGGTCAAATCGATGGCGGTCTCCATGTCTCAGTCTAACTTTCAGTCAACCTAACAACAGGCTGAGAGCTGGAGCTGAGGCAGGTTTTAAGCCTCTTCACAAACCGTTACATCGAGCCCGCCCGTCAATCATGTCAGCGACGCGCCTTCTTGTGAATGACGCTGATCCTGTATCCATTATCTATACTGCTTCTCCTGTTCGGAGTCGCATCAGCTTCATTTTACTTACTCACTGACGCCAGTATCAGATAAGAAAGGAGTTTTTCTTTTTTTTTAAATGCAAGTCGTGCAAAGCTTTGCTAAAGGTTTCACAGACTGACAACATGAAAGGAGAACATGAGGAGGATATGGGATACAGGATGACAACCTTTGTTATGTCCTCCTTCTGTAGCTGAAGTAATAAGAGGTTGTCAACATTAAAGTATTCTTTGGATTGGAAATGTGAGAGCTTGCCTTTTTTTAATATCAGTTTCTTTTTCATATATTCGACTGTCAGCTCAGCAGAAAGCTGGAGTCAGGACTCCTGCAGGGCTTCACTGTTTCGCTTGAGATCATCCAAGCGAGGGTTTGAGTGTGTGTGTGTGTGTGTGTGTCATATCTTACAGGTATTTTCTTTTGCGTGACCACCACTACGGTGTCTAAACCCCGGACCCCCACAGACGTCAGCCCACTCTGGGAGACAGCTTTGAAGGCATATTCTGAAAGATAAAGAAGAGCAGTTTGTCATTTCACATTAAAACAGTATGATGATATCCTCCACATTAAAACAGTATGATGATATCCTCCACATTAAAACAGTATGATGATATCCTCCACATTAAAACAGTATGATGAAATCCTCCACATTAAAACAGTATGATGAAATCCTCTTCACAAAGGAAACACTCCTTTGCAGACAATGTGATGCTTTAAAGTTACTTCTTACAATGCAAATAATGATCACGTTCAAAAACGGCTACTTGAACCATTAAGTCATGCAGAGTTTTAATATGAATTTAATAAGAATGAAAAGTTTTGAACTTTAGGTTAAAGTACAAGTTTTAATGTAAACTACATTCAATCCAAAAGCTAACCACGTTAGCAACATAATTAGGCTATAATAACATGTTTCGCAGAGGGCAGGTTGTTCTCTACTTTAAGCAGAAATTGTAAATCGTGGTTGTGAGCTTCTCTTGTATGTCCACAGCCGTCAGTGTAACAGAAACACCTGTGAATAACCGGTGTGTCTCTTACCGACTTGGTACAGGCGGCCCTCCGGTGAGAAGATGGTGATGTGTCGGTCGAAACCTGCGTTTGACCCGCGCGACATTCTCCGTCTCCCCTCGTGACCTCAGGTGAACTTCAGGTAACGACTTCAAGTAGCGCTATCTTCTCCTGGTTTATCCTTAAACTTTAACGTCGTCACCTAATCAGAGGAATGAAGGCCGTGCTGCAGCTCGACAACATGCAGTGTAATAATGGAGTCACTTCCCCGAAAGATTTTTTTTTACTTTCTGTTTCAGTTGTTGATGCGCAGCCCAAAGACCGGCCTCTCTCATTATTATTGGATGGAGGCGGCAATAAGGAAGTGGAGTGACTTTACCAGTCGGACTTGCCCTCTCTCTCTTTATCTCCACCTGTAGTCGAAAAGTGGTCAAAAACTCCGAAAGGGGCGAGGACTGTCACGGACAAACTTCAGAGGGGGATGAGGAGGAGGAGGAGGAGGAGGAGGAGGGTTAGATGGAGGGAAGTGGACGAGGCACAGACTGACACAGCCCCCCTCTCCGACTGTCTCTGGTGTCATTCGGCTGCTGGTGGCCCCTACACTCACAGCCTAATGTCAGGCCGCAGGGTGGGCTTCTGTCTCAGCGAGAAGAAACGCCGGAGGATGAACCTGGACGCGTTTAGAGAATTCTGTGCGTAAGTTGTTGCCGATGGTTGTCTGTGTAATTCATACCTATCTCTATCTCTTGATTTGTGTGGTGGGTGTATCTTGCATCAGCGGAGTGCCCCTATAGGCTCTCACAGGGGCCCTTACTTAGTATTTAGTGGATGGGGCCCCATGGCAAAGGAGGAATGTTTTTTGACTTAAATGTAGAACAAATTCCTCCAGCGAGGGATCGTGTAACAATGAATTATTAGGACCTATAAGTACAGGTGAGTATGCAGCTGTGTTCTTCTTTTTCAACAGCCTTAGTCATTGTCAGCCTTGTTTTGCAATCAGGTGACTGTTGTGAAATAATCTGCTTAAATAAATAAACATTTCAGTGTTTTTCCTGCAGGGGGCATGGAGTGGAAGTGGTGGAGGTATGTGTTTTTATTCACTTGTACATAAATAATAACAACCACTAAGAGTTGTACTGAAAGGACGGAGACATGCAGAAAGTGTTGGGTTAAAAGTGAGGAAACATAAATAGCAGGTGGAGCATTACACACAGGCCTATGTGTCATGTGCAGATGTCCACGACAGGTAATCCATCCATGTCACAGCCACCTGCAGCCCCCTCCTAAAAACTCAGAGAGAAATGGCTGCCTGGCTGTAACTGAAGCGATATTTCACAGCATGTAAATATCAGTACAGGGGCAGGAGGAAACCTTTTTTTTTTGGTACACAGATCAATAAAGAATTAGCCTTTCAGTGCATTTCACTTGACATTACATCTTAAACAGTGGGCACAAATCAGCACGGATGCTTCAGAAGCAATCAGGAATGACTTATAAGCTATTAACAGAGAGACAAAGTGTTTTTTAAGATGACATTATGTTATGTGTTGTCTTGCTGTAAGTTGACTCCTTCAACATCTTTTGGCAGCCGGCTGCTCTCCTCTTTTTCCAGGACTGCATACTGACACTGAATCCTGTAAAGATACGCAGTACTGGACCGTAGTGGTGGACGATATAACGATCTTAGATCGTGAAGGATTTTAACGTGCTGACGATCTGCCAAAGCAGAGAGATCGTAGAACCGGGCTAATGTGTTTATTCTATCATGCTGCAGTTTATGCTCCGACACAGACACGTCTCACCCCTCCTTTTTTGCTCCACAGCGGTAATAACGAAACTTAAAAGTAAAGTCCGCTAAAACAACTCCATCTCGGTTATATGCAACTGTTCTGATATTTTTCCAAACCGAAACGCTGTGAGCAACAGTTAACTTATCTGCATAGTTTAGTGTGCACAGTTAAGATTAGTCTACATCTCAGATAGCGACACAGAGAGACGTTAACAGTCAGAGACAGACATATGGGGCGCCGATTGTAAAGTTGCGCACACTACAAATAACAACAACATTTCTCCACATTTAGCCCTAAAAAATCACTTTTTATTCACATTTAGAGAAATATTTGTGAACTTTGTCTTATTTACTTTCGTGACTAAAAATGTAAGATAATTTCATTGGCAAATATAAATGTAATAGCTGGATATGATATTTTTCCCATATCGCCCACCTCTACTGGACCGTACCGGCCTACTTTCACCCCCTAGGGTTGCGATGTTAAATTAAGTGTTCAGACGGGCAAACTGTAACTGTAACAAACACTGGAGGGCTTACACCTGGGTGTTTGTCATATCAGACAAACTGAAATGTGTCAATTGAATAGCAAAGTCTTTCCTCTCTTATTTATACCAGTTTGAGTCCCGGGAGCTATTACATGTAAAACGTCTGTGAGGGTTCGGGACTAAGTGCTGTTGGTTTAACACCAGGGTCTTCCTGCTATTAGTAGAAACAAGTCTATATCAAGAGAGGACGGTGTTACAACTGACTTCATGGAGAATATTTTTATATTCTGAGCATGACATTGTTGACAATTTGAAGCAGTTTTTGTGGCTAACTGATGATTTCTACATTGATGAGCTTTAATTTATATCCTTCCCTTGGACTAAATGCAGACAGTATACTATAGTGTCTTTATTTTTGCACATCATTTATATCAAAGAGGACATATTATCCCCCTTTCCATCTTTTCAAACAGTCTCCTGTGGTCTAAATGAAACATCTGTGCTGTGCTTTGGTGAAAATATAACATGAATCAAGCACCAGAGGAGGTTTGTGACCCTGTATAAACCAGCTCTCTCAGAACGCTCCGTTTTGGTGTGTGTGTCTCTTTAAATGCAGTGAGCCCCCCCTGAGTTTTCCCGGTAGACATCACTCCTCTATAGCGAGAATAAAAATGGCGGACCTGCACAAAAGTTTTTCTCTAGGCTGGGGGTGGAGTCCATGGGTGGAGATACCAGGGGAGGGAGGGGATTTATTTTTTCCAGAATCCCACTGTGACATCACAAGGAGAACACTTTTGAAACTGAGCATTTTTCTCTGTGTTGTAAGACTTATGCAGAGCACAAACAAAGGACTGAATGGGTTTATTTCACATTTTGTGGGTCAGTAGATACTCAGGTTACTCAAGTTTATGTTCAAAAACACTGTACAAGTGGATTTTTCATAATATGACCCCTTTGACTCCCAAATAATACCCATGCATGGATAAGTATTTTGGTACAACACGATCCTCTACATGGTTGTAAACATGTTTTTCTCCCTTTGTCAGATTGACCTCACCCAGCCGCTGGCGCCTCAGGGACCCTTCGACATCATCGTTCACAAGCTTTCTGATGTCATCGTGGAGGCTGAGTGTAGCAGCAAATCACAGCAGCTCCTGACCAACTTCCAGGTAACGCTGCTTTCTGTCTGTGCCAAACATCCTACCGGCACATTAGACTGTATTTATTTTATGATGATAAATACAACAAGTACTGAGTGTAGATCATTTCTCCTTCTGTCTTTTACAGACGTATGTGTCAGCTCATCCCACTACAGTCCTCCTGGACCCCCTTCTTGCCATGACCCGGCTTCTAGACCGCTTTGCCTCCTATCAGATCATGACCAAGCTACGTAATTCACTCCGAGGTAAATACTGTATATTATTGTTTACTGTTTTTTTGGAGTTCCTGAGCTCCCTTGTGTCGTAGGTTCATCTGGATTGTTGCTGAAGACTCTTTATATCTCTCTTTCTGCAAGCCCAGCAGCAGATGGCTGTTCTACACCGAGTTGTGCTATAGAGATTTAAAGGAATTTTTCCTAGACCCTTTTACTCGCTAAAGGTTGGCATAGCTGTGCTCATTGTTGTTGCCAATTTGCTGTGTGTCACAGTGTGTGTCTGTGTGATAAACATTGCTTCAGCTGCTACATCACCTACACACCTGTGCACAGGTTGTATAATCACAGCACCAGGCAGAGGGATAAGGGAGTCACAGGTGAATGGGAACGGGTGATCAGGAATCCACACAGCACCGTGTATTGCTCCAGACCCATTATTTATGGTTTCCATAAATAATGTAGCACAAAGTGCAGTCTGGACCTGCTTTTGTCTTGAGATATCATTTGTTATGAATTGGCGCTAGACACTTAAAGATCGATTGATACTCTGAGCTGCCCGGTGGTGCAGTGATAAGTAAGGTCGTCATACAGCGAGGTTCAAATCCCTGTCTGAGGAGGAGCGTCTCTGTGTGGATGTTTGCATCTTCTCCTCATGCATGTGTTCTCTCCGGGAACTTGGCCTGTAGGTGTGGATGTGAGTATGCCTGGTTGTCTGTCTCTGTATTGACAGGCAACAAGTCCAAGGTGTACTCCGGTACAGCGCTACAACGGCTGGATGATGGATACTGCTTCCTGTATACATTTCCACTTTTTGTTCTATTCTGTCCCTACAGACTGGCGTATCTGCAGTCCTCCTCACCTCGAGATCCACAGCCTCAGTGACCTGTCGTCCATTCAGCAGGCTGTAACGACCCAGGGCCTGAGCTTTCCTCTCAGTCAGTTCATCCTTCTCCTCAACCCTTTAACTCTTATCATTCAATGATACAAACATTTAGGTGAACAAACGTTCCTCCCAGGAGCTCTAAAGAAACACTTAACACTTGTTCTCTGTCGTCCAGTTTGTAAAACCAGAGTGGCACATGGATCCCTTTCCCATGAGGTGAGATGTTTGCTTCAGTTCTACTCGATGTGTGTTATCCCTGTAGGTATCTTCATATGTGTGTTTGTGTGTGTGTGTGTGTGTGTGTGTGTGTGTGTGTGTGTGTGTGTGTGTGTGTGTGTGTGTGTGTGTGTGTGTGTATTGCAGATGTCCCTGATCTTCAGCACAGGCAGTCTGGCTGATTTGCATCCTCCCTGTGTGCTCCAGAGCTTCATCAACCACGGAGCTGTCCTGCACAAGGTGTTTGTGGTTGGAGACAGACACTTCTGCGTAGAGAGACCCTCACTCAAGAACTTTCCCTCCGGTCCCTGTGGTCAGTAAGCACCAGATCAAAAGAAATATATATATTTTAGTCCCCTACCTGTCCTCACCTGGACCTGTCATGTTCTTACCTTTCCTGTCTTGTTCTGCTCTGTTCTTCTTAACTCTTTGAGCCGTTCTGCTCTTTCCTTTCTGCAGACAGAGAGACGATCTTCTTCAACAGCCACCAGGTGTCCAAACCAGAGTCCAGCTCTGATCTAACAGAAGTAAGGGGCATTAAACAACTTCTCATATCCTAGTGTCGCCTGAATTCATTTATGTTTATTTTGTAACATGTCACAGAGAGCCAGATAAGATAAGAGGACAATCTCACCTTGTTTAAACCCCGGCATACCTGTTGTTCTGTTGTCATTAAAGGTCACATATTATCGTCCCTTTCTACATGTTTGAATAAGTCTCAGAGGTCACCAAAACATGTATGAAGTTTCTTGTTCTAAATCCACTCTGATCCTGTATTTGACCATGCCTATAAACCCCTCTATTTCAGCCCTGCTCAGAACAGGCTGTTTCTGTGTCTGTACCTTTAAATGTAAATGAGCTGTGTCTGACCACGCCCCCTCTCTGGAAGGGCTTGGGTGTCTCAGGCTTTCTTGCTCCATGTCCTATTGTTAACAATGAGAAGGCAGACTCAGAGGGCAGAACAAACACCTAGCTGTGGGAGTGTCACCCACCTGGGGGAGGGGTTACTGCCCTTTGTGATGTCATGAAGGGAAAATCTCCAAACGGCCTGTTTGAACACACATTTTTTGAAAAGTGGAGCAGGCAAAAGACGGAGAGGGTGGACTTTTCTCATCATTGGGGGGTTTGTAGATGGAATAGGGACACATATTAGTGTTAGAGAAACATGGTGAAGTGGATTGGACAGACTAGGGACACATTAGTGTTGGATGTATAACAGAGACATTTTCTGTTGTCATGTAAAATACTGCATGGCAGAATTTTCTTAACTTTTTCCCTAAAAACTTTAAGCCTAAAAACAGGCTTAACTTGTTGCTAATCTATAAACTTTATTTAAAAAAAGGCTTTAAACATACCTCAACTCTTCCTTTCTTCCTCCTCGCCCTTGAAGCTGGATGAGCAGATGCCGTGCCTGCCCCCTCCCAGCTCTGAGGCTGTGGCCGCCTTGGTCAGAGAGCTCCGAGCTCAGCTCGGCATGGCCCTGTTCGGCGTGGACGTCATCATCAACATACACACACACACCCTCACCGTCATCGATATCAACATCTTCCCAGGTACTGCAGCTATACACACACACACATTTACAGACACAAACACACACACTGATGTTCTGATTCCCGTCTTCTCTCCATCAGGCTATGAAGGAGTGCCCCAGTTCTTCTCCTGTCTGCTCAGCCATATCCAGTCTGTGTTGGACAAACAAACCTACACCGGTCCTCAAGTTACCAACTCTCCTGAGTCAACATCTTCTGCCACCACCGGCCTCTAACTCAGCTCCAGCATCCTGAGGATGTTACCAAGTATTTTCTGTGGGAAGTTTTCTTTAAGTTCCCAGATTGTTCGAGGATAAGATTCTCTCAAAACTTGAAACTTGTTTGTTTTGGCCTTTCGTACACACAAATTGTGTTTTATGTCACTGAAAACGCACCTTTTGGAAAACAGTGAGTTTTTAAAGTTTCCATGTGGACAAAGATGTTTTGGAGAACTTGGAGTGTGTGGACAGGATATTTTTTTATACGGAGGAGGAAAAACCTGATTTAAAAAAATAGGCTCTATGCCGTCATGTGGACTCGACCTAGATGACACTAAAGTTGTTCTGATGTGTTTCTGCACTGACAAACCAAGCAGGTGACACATCACGGTTTAATAGACTTTCCGTTTATTGATTAACAGGTAGCATAGAAGAAGATACAGCAGGCACAAAATACAGCACTCTGATTGGCCAGTAATATTACAAATGGTGTTGTTATCCTGTTGTTTGAAATGTCCTCTGTGCCGCCCCCTCCCCCGACATTTTCAACATCGTTCTTGCTGGTTTGTTAGGAACACATTTTTCACACTTCTAAAAAAAGAAAGCTCTTAATTTTTTTATATTTTCCAAAGCTTTAGAGTACAATGTGCTCCTCGGTGATGACTGATTACGTGTGATTATTACTTCCTGTTTACATCAGCTGACTGGATATGTCGCCAGCGTTCAAATACTTTCAAGTAGTTTGGTAAATCTTGGCTGTGTAGAAAAAAGAGACTATACCTGTTACGAGTACATTATGATGCAAGTTGCTTACATATTAAAATACATTAAGTTATTCAGTATTTGGCTAATGATTGCATTCACGTGTGCTGTAGCCTTTATCGTGTTATTGCATTAAATTGGCCTCCATTTGTAACCCTGTTTACCCTGCATTGTTTGCATTTCTACTCAGTGTCCTCTTGGGGGCGCTGTTGCTTAATATTTCCAATGACCTTGGCTTACAGACCGTGATATCTTACATTTACAAAAATTACACAACGGCCATGAAAAGTGAGACGTAACAACACTGAGTATTTATCAACGTTACCCAAAAAAGACAACAGAATGGCTTTAGTGTCTCCCTCTCCCCTCGACTCCTCCTTGGCTTGTTAAGATAAGAGTGCAAAGCTCGCTGAGAACCCGGAGTGACACTTTTAGACCTTTAAGCTCTAAGTACATCACACCCTGTCGTCACCGCACGCTTAAAGACGTTCCTCAACATCTCTCTCAAGTGTCGGCGTGCGGCATTTATCGTCGTCTGTTTTTGCTCGTGTCACCCTGGTTCTTCTCAAACAGTCTGGATTTAACAGTGCGTGAGCCAAATGAAACACAATCCTTTTGTTTCTACCCTATCGTCAAAGAAACGGAGTAAATAATGACTGACTCCTGTGTAGAAATATCAGTAGTAGGCCTACATATCATCATAACAGTCAGCAGGAACCGCCTACACAGAGTTATCAGTTATTGCACAAAATACACAATGAAACACACATTTAGTTCTAGCGGAGAATCTGTGTTTCCCCGTTAAGAATACACCTTCAATGTTTGTAGGCTACCTGCAGAGAAAAGAAGCACTGGTAGTCATGACGACGGTGTATGTGTGTGTATGTTGCTGAATGCTTTACAATCCATGGCGGTTTACAACAACGAGTACAATCACCTGTCTACCTTACAAACAGTGCTCACAGGGACTGAGACAAACCAGTACCTCGGGTGTACACGGACACAAAAGACCTTTAAGAATCCACCGGAGAAAAATGTGTCTCCTTTTCCTCAACACTCAGGTGGCTTCAGATGAGCATTGCGGAAAAGGTGAAATCTTTCTCCGGGGCAGGAAGTGTACAGGTTCTACTAATGTTTCTACTAAAGACATTTCTCTCAGTGCTGAAGGGATTTAAAGGCTGGTAAATGTGTGAGCTGAATGTGTGACTGTGAATGCAACAAAGGGTTTAGTCTGACAGCTGTGTGTGTGTGTGTGTGTGTGTGTGTGTGTGTGTGTCTCATCCTCGGCGAAGCTCCCTCAGCTCTGCAGCAACTTTGCGCAGCTCTGCTTCAATCTCCAGCAGCTCCTGTGGGAAGAAAAACAAATAAATATATATAGGCTATAACAGAAACTCCAGATTCAAGATTCAGTTTATAATATACAGTCGAATTCAAGTCTTATTAGGGTCAGTTCTGTCTCCAAAAAACAAGATTAAGGGTGCACTTACACTAGGCCCGGTTGTCCTGTACCGTGCTGAAGCATGATTCCCCCCTCCATTCCCCCGCTGGCCTGCACTCACACTGCTCCAGGACTAACCGGGCCGATTAACTTCCTCAACATCGTAATACAACACATGTATGGCTTTACGTGACCATGAAGCGAGCTAAGAGTCCGCATCCGCACACAACACGGCGAACATGACAGCTACTTTACTGACTTTGTGTCTTATTTTGCGTAATTATAGTCAGATGCAGCCAGAACACACATCGGGATTCCCTACTTTTCTTTTTTTGCCACACAGTCAACAGGATGATGTTTAATTTACTGGACTCCTTTCTGCTGATGGCACAGTCCGAAAGAGTCAATGATCTGGACTGGGTCTGTAGCCGGTCTGCTATTCAGAGCAGCTGTATGCTACCTCGACCAATCAGAATTGAATACCGGACAAAGTATAATAAAAGATGTTTTATTATACTAACACATGACTTACCTCGCCTTCATCTTCTTCAGCTTCTCCCTGCTCACCGTCCTCCTCGTCCTGCCCATCCTCTCTGACATATTCATCTTCGTCCTCCTCGTCCTCCTCTTCCTCATCCTTCAACCTCTCCCGCTCGAACTGCCGCGTGGCTTCATCGCTCGCTTTCTCCATCACTCTCTTCTGCTGTGGCAGCTTCACCTCCCCGGCATCCTCCTTCGTCTTGACGTCGTTCTCAGTTTTCTGCCCCGCCTCCTTCTCTTCTTCTCCCTCCTTCTTCCCGCTGTTCTCCTCCGCCGTCCTGTCACCCACGCCGCCCTCTTTCTTCACATCCTGCGTCTCCTGCTCGTCCTCCTGCACCTGTTTCATCTTCCTGACGAGTTCTTCCAGCTCCTCCTGCTTCTCCTTCTTCTTCCTCTCCTGCTCCGGCTGGCTTTTGCTGTCCTGCTCTTTGAGCAGCTCATTGAGCTCCTTCTCCACCTTTTCTTTCTCTACCATCAGCTCCACCTCACTCTTCCTCCTCTCCTCCATCCTCTGTTTCTCCAAGTCCACCGTTGTTTCTGCTTCCTTCTCTTCGTCCTCCTTTTTCTTCATCTCCTCCTTCTGCTCATCTCCAGCGCCTTTGTGGCTGTCCCTCTCCTTCACCGCCTCGTATCGTTTCTTCTTCAGCTCTTTCAGCAGTTCTTTCAGCTCTTCATCATTCCTCTCCTCCTTTCCTTTCTTAGTGATCTCTTCGGCTAGCAGCTCCTCCAGCTCCTTGGCTCTCTCCTCCTCAGTGTCCCTCCCTTTGTCCTCACTCTGTTTCTCCTCCTTCGTCTTCTCCTTGGTGTCATCTTCTTCCGTCTTCACTTCTTTCTTTTCATCAGTCTTTTGTGCGAGGTCGGTCACGTCTCTCTCCTCCTTCCCTTCCTCATCTCCACCCTCAAAGTCGCCCTCGTCTTCAGCCAGGTTGTACTCGTCGTCTTGTTCCTCTTCTCTCTCTGTAATAGATTCCAGAAGTCAGCACTGTGTGATGTTAAAATACATCCAAACATGACGGGAAAACATCCATTTTCTCCGCTTACCATCACCAGCTAGCTTCTGCAGCTCCCTGAGCAGACCCTGATGTCTTTGCACTTCATCAAGTTCCTCTGCAAAAGAAACAATTACTTAAAAACAAACAGAAAAACAAAGCCAATCAATGCTCTTAACATGATGAAAGCAGCACATAACAATGATGGATCAAAAAGCACTCAGGTTGCGATTCTTTAAAAGGTAGGGTTGGTCATTTTCTGTCTTTAGGTCCTGACAGAAATGAATAACCCCTCTGAAAAAGAAACAAAGAAAATCCATCATCTGTAGCAGTTGTAAACCTGTAAAAACTTCAACCAATGTCTGCCACGAGGTACCAATCTGATGAACCAATCAGACACCTCCCTGTCTCCCTGCTCGCTCTCTACCCCGTCTCTGATGATGGAGTTTATACTGTGAGTTTATTTACCACTAAATGAGACATGGGACGACGTAGATTCTGCTTCTGGAGCAACGGTGCTCGTGCATGTAAGTGAGGGGGCGTGGCTTTTGAGGGAGCATAGAGGGGAGGGGTGTGGGTGCAGACAGAGCACTGAGGGAATGCTACTTTCAAAATCATGCTAGTTTTCGAAAAGTGACCAACCCTGCCTTTAATAATTAACTGTTTTTCATTATATTTAAATTCATAGTGGTTCATACATTGAATAATTCTTTGTCTCAACATTCAAATATTGAGAAAACAACAAGATAAGATAATCAGATGTGTCACCTGCAAGCTGTGGGCCGCACTCATGATGTGACCCGTCGTCATTCAACGTCTCCTGAATAATACATTCAACCTGAAGACAAAGTCAGAAAACACACACGCACAGTTACTGGTAGAGCAAAGATATGTGATTTACTGAGTGATGAGGGAAATGAAAGGACGTCGTTCTGACCTTTGCATCATCAAGGGGTGAGGTTACCGGCCGGCTTCCCACTGAAAAACACAAAACAGAAATGAATGAGGACGGGAACGCTGATCTACATATCGTGGTGATTCTAAGACAGAAATGTTTCACAGTGCAGCAGAGTTTGTGCAGAAGTGGTTTGTGATGCACTGGCATGGGCTGAGCTGCTTCCTCATTAAGGTAAGCACCGTGATAAAGCGACCCAGCAAAGAAGCTTAAACCTCTCTCTCTCTGCAGGAGCCAGATATTCCAAAAGGCTTTAGCTCACAGGTAGTTTCCCACCCAGGCTAAATCAGTCACAGATCAACGCCTGCCAGTAATTCATTAAAGGCACACTTAACAGAGCCATCTGGGCCTTCTTCTCACAGGGATGCACTGAAACTAACAAGAAGCTAAAAGTCCAAATAGATCACGTCCCATGTTGGGCCTGCAGACGCCAACCGTTCCGTTCATTGGTATGAGTTTGGTGCACAGACACAGATAAATGCATCTTCATTTAGCCCTTAGTCTAAACGTCAGCCGATAATATTTGGGTCACAGTCTCTCTTGGATTAAACATTAATGTTCTCAAAAAAGGTGAATTGAAGGAACTATTTTCTTTATGAGTAACTGAACCCCCGGACTCCTTTTTTCAGCTGAAAGCCTTTGTGTATGGGTATTAATTACCATTGTTGATCAATTTTGAAAGTATTTAAGTTCTACATATACACAAAGGCTGTATGGTGGTGCAGTGATAAGCCTCACAGCGAGGAGGTACTGGTTTGATTAACCCGTCTGACAGGAGCCTCTCTGTGTGGAGTTTGCAGGTTCTCCCCGTGCATGTGTGGGTTCTCTCCGTCTTCGTCCCACAGTCCATAGACATGCTCGTTAGGTTGACTGGTGACTCTAAAATTGCCCGTAGCTGTGTCTGGTTGGCTCTCTATATGTCAGCCCTGTGATTGATTGTCATCCAGTCCAGGGCAGGAACCCTACAAGCAGTATAGATAATGGATGGATAATGTATTAGAAATATGCAAAGTGACTGCCATCTACAGGTTGAAACTATGCTACTGCAATTACATTTTTCTATTGGCTGATCTGGAGGCATTTTGCGTACGTGCGTCAAAGCCAATAAATACAGAGGCTATACTGTACTGTCCTCGCTGCAGCGGCCGTGAGCCCGAATCCGGCCTCGGCCCTTTGCTGCATGTCGCCCCCCAACTCTCTCATCCTAACATTTCCTTTCTCTCTTCAGCTGTCCTATCCAAACATAGCCAAAAATTACCCAAAAAAGTCAACCGACTCAGCAAACTGCAGGGAGTCAAGTGTGTTGAGAGAATTGCGCGGTTGATTATACCTGAAATCTATGTGGCTTGCTGTGAAATATGCCGTTTGAAAAGTGCTCAAATGAGGCTATTTGCACCAATCAGAGACGTCCCCCATCCTCTCCTGGACCCTCACTGTCCTCTGCATCAGCTGTCTCAGCACTCGCTGCCTGTGCTAGCAGTTCAAACTGATGCGGCTCTGGACCGCCGTGGTCTTGGTCTACAGGAGACTCTGGAGGAGAGAATTCCACGACTTCAAACCACATTCTGTCACTCAAGTGTCTTTGCAGCAGGTTGTTTCTCATAGCTAAATAACCTAGCTAAAATTGCTAATCAATTTATGTGTGTGTGTGTCACATAGATGTTGTGGCTGATGGTAATGCCCCATCCCCTTACTTCCCCTCCCCCCAGCACTGTCCATGAAGACATTTCTAAATTCCAGGGTAGATGCACTTTAGCCGAGACTCCGGGGGTTTAGTTACCCTTTACCGTTTAGTGTTTGCTTTGGTTGTCTGTACTTGATGTCAACTACAACAGTTGGATCCCAAATTGACTAAATCAACAACTATTGAACACTCAGAGATCGTTCACACTTGTCATCGACGTGACACATGTGGGTCTGTGTCAGCTCACAGCAACATCAGTACAGATCAGGATCAATCGGCCTAATTGATTCCGTGGCCTCTGCTGGACCCCCTTGCAGACACGTGAGCTGCCCACTGTCTAGCTCTGCAGGCATTAGGCAAGTTTATTTATACAGCACATTTCAGCACCAAGGACATTCAGAGTGTTTCAAACAAGACATCAAGACAAAGGAGAACAAGAGATGTTACAAAAAGGGCTTTTAAAATCACCAAAACAAACTATTAACAATCGGAGAGAAGATAAAATAAATAACAGTGGAGCCAGCGGGGAGCGCAGCGCTGTGTGTGTGTGTGAAGCAAAGTGGGTTTGAGAAATTCTGCGTTAAAGTTGACAATAACTACAAACTAGAGCATTTTTTTATTTTAGATATTAAGATATATTTTGGGGATTTTAATGTAGAGATAGGTCAGTGGATAGAGCTGGAAATCAAGGGGTGAGAGAGTAGGGAATGACATGGAGGAAAGGAGCCACAGTTGGGATTTGAACCGGGTGGCCACCTGAGGTACCACAGGCTCCATACATGGGGCGCGCACACTAACCACTGCGCCACCAGCGCCCCAACAAACTAGAGCTTTGGTAATCTCTCAGTGAGTGCTTTCACACTATCACAAAACTCGTTAAGTTTTCAGAGTGATCTGCGTGTGTGAACGCAAACATCAGAATTTTTCCTGCAGAAAGTCAGAGTGAGCTGATGTGAGAACACAGGAGGATATAATCAGGAGAATTCACCTCGAGCTGGGGGGGTGGGGATGAAGCTAGTTGCCTGCGATCTGTGCACGACCATAGACTGTCTGCATGCGCCCGGTACGATCTCCATGCATGTTATTAAACTGCTGCACTATGTTTTCTGTTCTGCAGTTTGTTCTTTAGTTCATATTGTGATTCTGAGCGTTGATGTAAAGACAAATATTCTAATCATGGCGTCGTATAGCGGACTCGTCCAACACTTCAGCATCAGTCTTTTTTTACATCACGTCTTGCCTCTCAGAAGCTTCATCTGAGACACAAAGGCATTCTCTTATGGGGGAAAAACGAGTTTATAATTTTACTCCACCTCGTTATTGAAACTGATGCTGCAGTTTCATGGTGTGGTACAGCAGCTAAGACTGCAACATCTTAACAATTCTTAATACGGTGGAGAACGGATACAAGCGCTTGGTCATGAAACGACTTCACTTTAAGAAAACCGTGCAGCAATTTTAGAAACGCTGCAAATTCTAAAGCAGATGCAAACGTCCAAAACAAATGCAACAGCAAAAAGCTGCAACAAACATGCTGAGTGCAGGAAGAATCATTAAACCACTGAAACATTTTTACAGAAAGAGAAACTATTTTTTTAGATGTAAACATACTCAGATAATGCTTTGTTGAAATGTATTTGACAAATAATTGCAGCTGAAAGACCATTTAACACAGAAACGCTGGATTAAAACCGAGAAAATGTATTTTTATTTCATGAGGACTTTAAAGGCAGGGTTGGTAATTTTCGAAAACTAGCATTCCCTCAGTGCCCCGTCTGCACCCACCCCTCCCCTCTGTGCTCCCTCTAAAGCCACGCCCCCTCACTTACGTGCACGTTAGTCCAGAAGCGGACCTCAGCTCATGCTTTGAGTGTGGGCTTGTGCATGCATCAGTAAGAGAACGAGCAGGGAGACATGGAGGCGTCTGATTGGTTCATCAGATTGGTACCTCGTGGCAGACATTGGTTGAAGTTTTTACAGACTTACAAACTGCTACAGATGACATATTTTCTTTGTTCCGTTTTCAGAGCACATGAGTTATTCATTTCTGTCAGGACCTAAAGACAATTTGAACCAAAATCTTAAAAAGTGGATCTGGAGGAAATAACCAACCTTGCCTTTAATGTTAGTTGTGTCAGCTGCTGTACTTTAACCCTTTAACAGTTTATAGTCAGCTCTATGTAAGTTCTATATGTAGGTTACCCTGTGACACTGCTTAACATTGAACACTGCAGACTAATAAAAGCGTTTCATACACACATCTGTGTGGGTGGAAGATTCTCTCTCAATCACACACCTATTTTAATTAATTAACATGTGCTAATAGCATGGGCGGCTGTGGCTCATTTGGTAGAGTCATCTCTCTCACCTGGAAGGCCGAGGGTTCGATCCCCAGCTCCTGCAGCAACATGTCTGATGTGCCCTTGGGCAACCCTGAATTGCTCCCACTGCTTTGTCGTCTGCGTATTAATGTATGTGAATGTGAATGAATGGGCGTGACCTGCGGTGTGAAAGCGCTTCGAGTAGTCAGAAGACTAGAAAATCGCTATACCAGCTCAAGTCCATTTACTATAATAGTGTCACGGGAACGTCACCTCACAGAAAACACACGCACATGTCGCGACTGTTTTCCGCTCACCTGTGCGCCGCTTTAATTCTCATATGCTGTAAAATTAGACAGTTTGAGGTCTGTGTTTAGTCAATGAGCATCTGTTTAAAATCACACCCAGCAAGAGCAGCATCTTCAGCTCAGAAAGGAAAAAGGTGGGCGAATCATGAATTATGTAACGACGCTTTTGTTTAGCCTATTAGTCTAAAGCCCTGCGGCTTTCGCATTAAGTTAACATACGCTTTCAGTTCACTCTGTTGTTCTAACGCCTTTACTTTGCAATGTTTCCCCTTAAAGCGTGTCGGTTAAAGGGGAAAGAAATGGTCTCAGCTGAAGCAGGAGAGTGTGAGAGATGAGGCTGAGCGATCACTCGCATTTTGTATCGTCATGTTGTCACACTGAGCGCTGACAATCTCACCACTGCGGTCTGCAATGAACGACATAATAAACACACTCACCTCCGACAGCAGCCCACAGAAACACTGCGGTGACCAGGTGTCCCATAGGATCCGAAAAGAGAGGCTCCTGCAGGAGATAACCTTGAAATGACGGGGCTGGCTCTTTCCACACAGCCGCTGCGTGAGGTGGAACCGAGGCACCGTGTGTGTGTGTGTGTGTGTGTGTGTGTGTGTGTGTGTACGTGGTGTCAGGTGACCAGATCAGACCCTGTTGGGTGCCAGAGATGTCAGCTTATCGTCCTGTTTTCTCGCTGTGTTAACAAACTGCTACCTGCTGTAGACGAGGCTGCAGAATCTGTCCTCTCTTTTAGATCCCTCCTTAAAAATCACGCTTTTACCTTTTTTGTTGTTGTTGTTGTTTTAGCTCTTTTTATTGTTTCTAAGCCTTTTAGTTTCTGACATTACAAATCTTTGGTCCTCTTGGTCTCAGCTCGTGTGGTTGGGTTCTTGTGTTGCCTGGGTTCCTTTAATGTTTCTTATGATTGATCCCAAGTTTGGTACTTGACATGGGTCTTTTGAGGGGTTCTTATGATTGTTCTAATGATGGTTCTTATAATGGGTCTTATGGTGTTTCTTGTGATGGAGATGGTCCTTAGGACGGTCATTTTTCAGGTCTCATGATGGGTCATGGGGTTCTTTAATGTTATCTGCTATTTTATCTCTTGTGTACTTGTTTTAACGTAAAGCACATTGTGATGTTTATCTGTGAACGTTGCCATACAAATAAACTTATTTACTTGTGATGGTTCTTAGGACAGTCATTTTTTCAGGTCTTATGATGGGTCATGGGGTAATATGATGGTTCTTGTGATGGGTTCCTATGAAGGGTCTTATGGCCGTTCTTATGATGGTTCCTGTGATGGATGGGTTAAATATATTCATATTGGATTCTGGTAATTTTGTTGTTTGTTTTTCTGTGTTTGGGTTCTTTCTCTTTGTTCCATTTATGTTTCTGCTTAATGTCAAAGCAGGTTGTGAACTCGTGATTTAAAAAAGGTGCTATAAACATAAAGTAATTATTAATAATTTTATGTTATTATTTAATGTGCCACAAAGCCTGACCTTTGACCTTCGGCCCATTTGGAGCTCATTAGAAGTGCAAACATTTCAACATAGTGTACTTCTCTGTAATTCCACTTTACCCAAATCCCACCAAATATGCACCGCTGAGATTTGGATTATAACAGCTGTCATTGAATTCACAGGGCCAGTGCTGCAGGATATGAGAAACATTCAATGTGAAAACATTGTTCAATAATATGAAGGGCTTTTCAGAGGGCTTTGATTAAACACAGTTTCTATCGCTATCTGCTGTTTGCAACACGTCCATCGAGATCCAAATATTTCTAAAAATACGTTTTTTAATTTAGACCAATAAATCTGAGAGTAGCAAATTGCTCGCTTGAGCTTCATCTTACTCAACAAAATTATTTTATGAGCTCGTTTTTTCCTCTCAACAAGGGGAGGTGATTGGAGCTTCTCATTGTGGTGTCATCTGAATGCTGCATCATGTTGGTTGTGCTGTTTGTGTAGTTCCCCGTCTTCTTGTTATATTTGCACAGTTTTTGTCTCGTCTGTTATCTTCTCACCTCTTTTATTTTCTGTCTTGGGGAAGCCAAAATGCTTCCACAACGCCGATTTAAAAGACGCTGATGTATCCTCAATTCTTTAAATCTTGCTCTGCAGCTGATGAGCAGGTGACCGTGGACATTGGAGATACGCTATTAGGTCGACTTTGAAACTGCTTTTTTAAAGTGGGAAAGTTACGTATTGTTGCCTTAATCGTTGACCTTTTATAGCAGCCTAAAATATAACGCCCATTAACCGGCCTGCCACCTCTGTCAGCATGCTTCTTCTGCAGCTCAAAACATCATCTGTATTACGGCCAAATGCAAGTTTGTAAAACAGATTGAACTGCAAGACAAACACAGGACGAGTAAGCAGTACATTTATCTTTATTGTTTTTTTATTTACCCTGAAAATAATCCTCATGGCATTCAACAAGTGAAGATATAAATATATTAACAGATACAGTAAACCCCTTAATGATAAGAACTGATGCAATGACTCAACAATCAAGGATTCACTCAGACTCCATTCATAAAGTCAGACTGTTTGAAACATCCTCATGAGTGTTAGACATCTTCCTTTGCTGAGTTCAGCCCAGCGTACATCTGTACGACTGTTTATAGGACGTAGAGGAATGTCGGCTCAAACTTAAAGGCAGGGTTGGTCATTTTTCGAAAACTAGCATGATTTTGAAAGTAGCATTCCCTCAGTGCTCCATCTGCACCCCCTCCCCTCTGTGCTCCCTCAAAAGCCACACCCCCTCACTTACATGCACAAGCGCCGTTGGTCCAGAAGCGGACCTCAGCTCATGCTTTAAGTGTGGGCTAGTCCACGTAAGAGGTAGAGAACGAGCAGGGAGACAGGGAGGCGTCTGATTGGTTCATCAGATTGGTACCTCGTGGCAGACATTGGTCGAAGTTTTTACAGGCTTACAAACTGATACAGATGACGGAGTTTCCTCTTTCCTTTTTCAGAGAACACGAGTTATTAATTTCTATCAGGACCTAAAGACAATTTCAACCAAAATCTTAAAAAGTGGATCTGGAGGAAATTACAAACACTGACTTTAACGATGGTGGTCGGGCACAACCTTAGAGCGGCCACTGTATGAGTTTTATCAGGACGGAGCATTCACAATCTATTCTCAATAGATGTGTATGTCAGTTGTCTGATGCATGGCTCAAATACACACACCGGCAAGAACGCTCTCTCTCTCACACTCACCATCACCGATAAACACGAGCTCACTAGAGGCTAAATCATAACAAATATTCCATCAGCTGGAGGTCTGCAGATATCTTGTACCAGCGCTTCTTTCACGATCAGAGGGGTAGACAGATTAAACAGGCATACCTGCTGTTGCCATGGTGATTGGTTGTGTAGGCATAATCAGGAAAAAAAAGTCTCAGATCTCACTGTGCGACAAAAAATATCAAACATGTCAGAAAACAGCCGACCAGACCGTGATTGGGCGTTGTGCCTCAGTGCACCCGCCACAGTCAGCCGTACGACTCAAAAGTCTGGCTTAAGTTGGCCTTTGTACCGTGGAGATTGTACCGTGTGTGCCCGTCATTAATGGTGTCGAATGTGAACTGGCTCCCATGTCAGGTTGTCGTGGACGCTGTCTGGTTTTTAAAGCACTTCACTGGTATTTTGATCATCTAGTCTTTGGAGCAGGCCTGGGGGGTCGAGTGTGCTGGTTGGGTCCGATGTACTTCAGCGGAGCGTACTTTGGCTTCTCAATGACTTCTAGGCCCAAATAAGGCTGCAGAGCTCGGGGGACACGCACTGTTCCCTCCTGAAAAGGGGGGGGGGGGAGCATGAAGAAGCATCATTAATAAACTGTCAAATGAAAGAGCTGGTCTCCATCTGATCATGCGGTAGTATATCCCTTTAAATAGTTAGTTTGCTTTTTATGGTTAATCAAATGTCCCAATGTCGCTCATTAAAGTCCCCTCAGGGTATTTGCTCCAAAGACCTCCAGGTTTCCTGTAACCGTGACTTGTCTTACTTTGGTCTGGTGAGTCTCCAGGATGGCGATGATGGTTCGAGGGATTGCACATGCTGTAGCATTCACCTGGAGAACAAAATAAATCCCGTCACACTTCCGCTAGTTGGTAAACCGCCGAAAGCCAAACCTGCACTGATGTAGAGCACTCACTGTGTGGGCGTACTGCAGGCTGCCGTCCTCTCTCTCATACAGGATGTTGAGACGTCTGCTTTGGTAGTCTGTGCAGTTTGACCCACTGGAAATCTGGTGTAATATATATAGATAGATAGATAGAGAGAGAGATAGAGAGAGAGAGAGAGAGAGAGAGAGAGAGTCATGCAGGTCAGACTATCCTTTGTTTCTGACTTGTAATACTGTAAAAAAGGTAAGTAGGTATCGGTGATGTAAAGAGACTGACTTCTCCATAGCTGTCCCTTCCAGGCATCCACGCTTCGATGTCAAACTTCCTGTGTGCAGGAGGACCGAGCTCCTGCGTCGGCATGTCCAGCACTCTGATGAAAAACACAAGAGGTACAACAAATGATCCACATCTCATACCAATCCTCCACATATCAAACCCTCCAAATATCAAATCCTCCAAATACCCGGTGTAGTCCAAATGCTCGAGTCCAAGTCAAGGCACCAGACCTGAAAAATCAGGGCTTGAGTCGGACTCCAGTCCTGGACTTGAACACAGTACCTGAACACTCACCTGTAGTGTAGCTCCAGAGCAGAGAAAATCTCTTTCTGCAAAGAGACAAAGTCCTCCAGCAGCTGAGAGCTCTCCTGTCCCGTCTCATCAGCTGTCACTCCAAACATCTCCACCTGGACGGATAAACACACACACACGCACCGTAAATGTGGACGAATATAAAGTGATGTCATCTCTGTAGATATGCAGATTACAAAGAGGTGTTGTTAAAGAGCAGAATTGAACATACATATTTAAATTTGAATGAGCTGTACATGTCATCAAACTGACTTTAAATATGGGACACTCATACACGGTGTGTTCATGAATGAAGGATGATGGCAACCTGTGTGGATACAAGTTATGGATACAGCGGCCCCTCTCTGTCCTAAGTTATGGATACAGCGACCCCTCTCTGTCCTAAGTTATGGATACAGCGGCCCCTCTCTGTCCTAAGTTATGGATACAGCGGCCCCTCTCTGTCCTAAGTTGTGCATGCATTTATTTTTGTCCAGTACGTATTGGCAAAAATCGGCATATTCCTCGAGGCTCCAAAAGTGTGCACGACAGATTCATGTTTTTTGTGCTTGTTACCTTGTTGAAGTGATGAACTCTGTAGAGGCCCCATGTCTCTCTGCCTGTGTCCGTCTCCGCCCTGTAGCAGGTGCTGCTGCACGCCGACCTGCAGCACAGACGACAGATCACGTCAGTCCTAGTCTGCTGTAGTTATTTTGATATCCGAGTTACACAATCTGAGGTTCTGCCTCCTACCTGACAGGCAGGTCCTTCCAGCTCACTGCATGATCCATGAAATAGCCTGGAGGTGAGAGACACACGTCACATCATTACTCAACACGTGTTTCATGGATTGGTCCATCACCTCGCTGTGAAAGTCTCTCTTTGGCCTCTCATGCTGATGTTTTAAAGACGTTTACTAATTAGGGCATGGATTATGATAAGGAAGAATGGAGTTTAACCTGCAATGCCGACCTCTCCGGTCCCTGCCAGGTTGAGGTCTGGGAAACGGGCTGGATCCAGCGTGTAGACCTGAGAGCGGTGAGCGTTGGGCTGCATCCCACAACCCTCCTGGACAGGGACGAAGAGGAGACGTCAAGTCACATTTATTCATAAAGCACATTTAAAAACAACAGCAGCTGACCAACGTGCTGCACCCAACGTTAGAGAAACAATATGCAGGAGTTTACAACATTTATAAGAATAAAGAAAACCAGAGAGAAGGGACTAGTCAGGACCAGACGGCTGAGATGCTGACATAGAAAAATACAATTTGAGGCGGGACCTGGCTGCAGCAATTTGGACCAGCTGCAGGCGGGACAAGGATGACTGGCTTTTCCCGGTATATTAAGAATTATAGTAATCATGAACAGGAGAAGAACGCATGAATTACTGTCTCTAAGTCAGAGAGGACCCGCCAGGCAGAAAAACACTGACACTAATATGACATCAGAGTCTCATGAATTCAGACTGAGGTCACATTGGCCCGTATCTGATTTGAGTTAACCCTCCATGTGACTAATGCTAACGGTCAAAACACGGTCAAAAAACACGGTCAAAAAAAATAACACGGTCAAAAAAAATCGATTCAGGGTCACTGTTTCCTGCAGTTTTTTTAACGCAGCCATTGTTAAGACACATTTCAAGAATAGGGCCCTGGTATATTACAAACAGGAGTCAACACGCTCTGCTACTCACAAATACTGCCCCCTTCAGCACGTCAGGTACAACCATCGGGATGAAGCCCTGCAGGAGTAAAAAGAAAAAACAAAGTTTGGGCTCTGTTTTGGTAAATGAATGTGAATGCATTTTGCAGACATTGTTTTAATATTTTTTAGACACATCTCTTACCCGTCGCAGCACTTTGTCGAGGGCAAAGTTTTGGAGCGCAGTCTGAAGTCTGGCTCCGACCCCCCTCAGATAGTAGGACCTGTGGCCTGACACATGAGCTAGATGTCTGCAGAATAGAGCAAAAAAAAAAGCACATTGACACCCTTTCATATCAATAAGGTTAGACTTCAAAAGACAGCACAGCAAGCGGACAAATCAGGTAGAAGAAGTCCTTAAAACCAGCAATCAGACCCCCTGACCTTTGCCTGATGAGACCCAGCTCCTCCCCCAGCTCCACATGGCCTTTGGGCTTGAAGTCAAAATCTACCCAAGAAGGAAAAAAATGAGATGAAATGTTTAGTATAAAAACACATGTGGTGATAAATTATCTAATTATTTGGATAAATGATGCCATAGGTCACATCCATCACCTGGTTTCTGTCCAACCAGCTCCACCACCCTCGCCTGGCTCTCATCCCCAACTGGCTAAAAAAAAAAAAAGAAAGAACATTTTTAAGTTTAGGACCCTTCTCACAAAATCTCTCCGCGGATGCTTTGGAGAATGTGTGTGTGTGTGTGTGTGGGAGTATCCTCCTCACCACGTCAGGGTGGGAGGTGTTGGGCAGTCTGAGTGCTCGTATATAGTGCTCCTGATCCAGCTCCGTCTCTCGAGGCTGGAGCTGATTCAGTCTGATGCGGATCTCCCGACCCCTCTGCAGAGCCTGCGTGTACTCTGGAAGCTGTGCGATACACAGCAGGAGAAATGTGAGGCATCGCCGAGTCCGACCAGCGCAGAAACAAACACGCACTCATTCAATATAAAAGTACTCACACATTTTAATAGTGAAGTGCAAAAGGTAAACTTACACTGGAAAGGGCTTTCTTGTTGTTACTGGCCTGTGAAAAGAAAATTAAGTGAAAATGATGGATGCATCTTAAAACACAGCTTATTATCACAAAGACAAATCTAATTAGGTTAAAGTGTGCAAACATGGGACGAGATTTAAAGTGAAATTAGCAGTCAACATTATATTTTCACCACAACAATAAACATCCATCAGAAAACTGGGGACGGTGACCACTGCTGTAATGACCAGTACTGACCACCAGGGCTTTGACAGTTTCACTGATGTGTTTCTTCTGCTCCTCCAGCACAGAGATTTCTGTCCTCACTGCCTGGAGCTCCTGCCACACACAAACCTACAAACACACACACACACACACACACACACACAAACAACAACATCAGCTGAGAGCTAGCAGAATATTAGAGCTTTAAAAGTGTCAGTCTCCCATGTGAGGTGGAATAACATTTAAAAAAATAATTCTTTATTTGTGTAACACTTTTCAAGACAGGTAACAAAATGATTACTGGTGTGCAATAAAAACAAACAAGTAATAAAAGCAAACAGACAGCTAGAACAAAAGATTGGCTGTTTCACAGTTTAGGAGCTCTGAAAGAAAAAGCCGTGTCCCCTTTAGTTTTCAGCCTGGACCTGGGAAGAGCTCGTGGAGCTTATTAGAAACATGCAGAGGCTTTTTAGGTCGGGTACAATCACTTCTATCTGAACCACTTCTCTTGCCCGCTTCCATCACTACAACACCTGTTGACCTGATAACTGCTCTCATATCTGGAAAACCGAGGGGCGTCCAAAACGGCTGTGTGGGGGTGTCTTAAAACCGCCTACCTTCTCTGGTCCAAACAAATCCAGAGCATTCAGGACCAGAATCTAAAGTTAGAAGGAGGACATACTGGCTGCTGCATTGTTGTCAGAGAAGCCAGCACTTCAACATAGCATGTTTCCTTAATGTCTGATCATATAGTAAGATCACTTTATCATTTAATTCAGTAGATATATTACTGATTGGACGGGCTGCTAAATATTGGAGTATTTGAGGGAGGTGGATTTCCTTTTGACTGGTGTTGGTGTATAATGAATTGCAGTAGCCGAGGCAGGAGGAAATAAAAGCATGAATGAGTTTTTCCAGATCTTCGAGTGATTTCACCTTTTGATATATTTCTGACCGGATAGAAACAGGACTGGACAACTTTCTTCTCTTCACAACATCATAATTTAGTTGTGTTGTTTTGTATTTTACAGGAGCCGCACAGCCAGTTTATGTTTCTTTACAGATTCAGTTGTCGTGGTTTAAATATCAGACACACTCACAATCTTCCTGACATCGTCCCCTCGCAGGTCGCCCTTCCTCTTCTCTACGTCTGCGATGACTTTGTCGGTCTCCTCACACACTGCTCTCATGTCCAGCTCCGGCTTGTCACTGTAACCTTCACGGACATGCTCGTACAGACTGCTCCGGACTCCGTGCGAAAAGCGAACACACACATTTGCCCCCGGCCTTGATAAATGTGCGGACACCGGCTTGAGCACAGCAGCCAGTGCTGTCACTCTTGTGACCATGCTGAAGCAGGCCGCCATGTTTTCTCTTTGGGTTGATGATGCATTTAGCGGGTGTAGAAATATTCGCAATTGTGCTCTTTGAGGACTCTTGGTCAGCGTCTCCCTATGCACTTCAAAAGCTGTTCGTCCAAATAAACTCATCTTCTGAATAAAACAAAACATATACGAGTATAATATAAAGATTAAAATGTATTTACATCAAAGCAAACGGAACGGTTGAGAGTTGTAAAAACGGTCGTATCGGCCCTGAATGCAGCATACATGCGGAAGTTATGGTGCCTTCGCGTACTTCAAGGAAATGTCGTACGTTCCAGATGCAGTTGGGAAAACAAAACAACAAACATGGACGCCTGAGGTTGTTTGTTTCGTGGCCGATGCAAGTGGGACAGAGCTCCTGTGTTCTCCAGCAGCAGATTGAATTACAGGCATTATTTTAGTTGTATTTAGGTTTAAATAACATTATAATGATTAACTAATATTAGCTGAGATTTGTTAGAATACCCCTGTAACTGTTTAAATTGTAGTTACTGTTTACAAGCATTCATCCATTTTTCCTGCCCTAAAAAAAAAAAAAGAAAATCGAAATTTCCCAGTCGTAATTGCGATTTTGGAGTGCGGTCCATGTACCCATAACTCGTAAATACGACATTTCCAATGATCACTTGAAGGCTGCATTAATATTTTGGTGAATTGAATAAAAAATAAACGGATAATCTGTCATTAAATATTACTGTAGTACAAATCAGCTGTTCTGCACGACTGCTGACACGTATATTAGAACAATAAATAAGGATTTTAATTTATTTTCAGGGACAAAAAACGACGTACTGCGTATTTCCAAACATTCGTCACGAGGCAAAGGTCAACCAATCAGATGAGCGGAAGTTTAACGTTGCGGTAATCCGGTTCAGACGTGACAAGTGCGGCCGACTGGACTCATTTTCTGCCCTGTAGGCTTTTAAAACTACACCTTCATTGTTTTGGCACAGAGTTGGACGTGTGCACTGCCATGGTGGACTGATGCGTGTTAGGACGGGAAGCATTTCTGCACAGGGGAGGGGAGGGGGGTGGTGGCGGGGGGGGGGGTAGGGGGGGGGTCGTTCTGGATCTGGGAGCTAGTTTGGTCCGTCTGCTGCTGGTGATGTTGTGTTTGGATGAGCAGCGAGTAGCCTGACGCGTCTCCTCCAAAAGGCCGGGACGAGCCTTTCAGCTGAGCCCGGAGGACCAAGTCCCCCTCCTCATGGGAGCCGGGACAGTGTGTCGAGACCTCTGGTGTTAACAGGGCACTGTGAGACGGTTAGCCTGGCCCAAAGTGCCTCACCAATTCCTGTTGAAGGTGGGACCCAACCAACCCTCACGGTGGAAACGAGAAGAAGAGCCAAGGTGATGTAGAGCTAAGTTAAAAACGCAAACGGCACACTGATGCTGCTCTCTGCTTTGTGTTCATCATGTCCTCATTCTCCATCCAGTCAGGTGCGTGTCCACACTTTTCTGACTGGGGTGGCCCACGTGGGGCTGCAGGGGCGTGTCCAGAGGGGTGGCATTGGGTCCCTCCCCCCCCCCCCTTCAAATCTTATTGGTCACTCCAAAATCTGTTGAACTTTTGCTGCATTCACGTGGTGTCGGATACGCTGGAAAAAAAGAGTTTCCGAGTTGTAAAATGTCCATGAACTCCGGCTCAAGTCGGGACAACAACTCGGAGACTCGGAAAATAATTCCACAGATCTTCTTTGTAGCATCAACGCTGTTTTGTGCTGTTGTTACAACATTCAGACTTTCCAAAATGAAATCGCGTGAACACACTGAAGTCGGGAGAACGACTTTCCAAATCGGAAACTTGGACGACCTGAGCAGCACACGATAGGACGTGGCCAGGGGTGCGGGGTCCTGCGGGGTCCTGCGGGGTCCTGCGGGGTCCTGCGCGCCGATTTTGCGCATTGCCCGAAAGTATTATCTGTTACCTGGTTCATATGTGTTGTAGCAGTGGTTCCCAAAGTGGGGGGTCCCATGTCTCTGGCCCCTTCATTTTGGGGGTCACGTGCTGCAAAGTTTATGACCCCCTGAGTTATTGGCCTCTCATGCATGCACAGATGGTGACTGATTGGTTGATATTGTGGTAATTCTCACCTTCCTCTATATTCGGTGCTAATATTGTATCATTTTGTTCGTTGATGTTCTCACTTTATTTCCACTCAAGCCTTTGATTTGCGTCCCACTCTTGAGTTTTGTGTTTTTGCCGTTCATCAGATGAATGCTGTGCGCGGGGGCACAGTCACCTGGCGTCCCCAGCCATGGCAGGATGGGGACGGGGGAGGAGGAGAACCTCTGTCGGACAGCGACTCAGAGGAGGAGGACTTCCCCGACGACAGCACCACCCCTTTGGGAGACTACATCACACACGGTGAGACATTTGAAAAAAGAAAAGAAAAGTACAAGGTTTGAGAGGGGGTTGTTTTCCGGAGTTTAGAAAGCAGTTTGCGTTCTTCCCAGTTTAATTCCACGGCTCGCCTTCCATCACCGCCTCTTCTAATCACTGTTCTTTCTTCTTCTGCTGCTGCTGTGTTTTAGGTCTGAAGCAGCTCCTGGATGCCCAGCAGTTGTGTGATGTCACTCTGCTTGTTGAGGGGAAGAAGTTCATGTGTCACAGGTTTGACTGTTATCTCATGTTACAAAGAACCAGATAAAGAAAAAAAGTCATTCATGAAGTCTATTTCAAAGGAAGCCAGCAATTCAGGGAATGCAGCTTGAACGGTATGCAGATGCTAGAAAAGCACTGTGGTGCCCGTCTGTTCAAAACGATTGTACCACCTTCTATTAATACTGATTCTTTATGAACGACAGCGTTTAAAAAGGAGCAGTGTTCATGCTCTGCTGTCACTCTAACCAGGTATGACTGGAAGCTACAGGTGTCGACATTTATCATTTCTATGACGCAGATGTGGAGAACTCTGCAACGATGACAGAACGTAATCGATTCATAGGCTACTACTGAGGTTGCTTTTAGATTTTGCTGATGCGGCTGTACCTATATAATTCTTTTTTTTTTTTGACTATGTAAAGACATTTATGCTGACTCTGATTTCTAAAGGATTTTTCAAATATTAAAAAAGGGGGATTCATATTTATCTGACTGCTCATCTTCATTGAAAAAGTAGCCATGGGCAGTAAGATAGAAAATTGAGGATGCATCTAATATCGAATGACGGGATAATCATAATTGAATCGTTAGACTAGTGAAGATACACAGCCCTGCTGGCGTTATTGATTGATTGTTTTGTTTGTGAATTTGAATACCATGTTGATCTAAAACATGTCACTACCTCCTCTTTGAACATAAAGTGAAACACGGTTGTCATTCGTCACAAAGCTTGGTTTAACCATCAGTTTAACAAACGACTTCTTGTGAGCGCAGACAAAAATAAAATGTGGAAATGTAATCAACTGTACAATTGAGTATCGTCTCTCCTTCCATCCTACTCGCCCCTCAGAGTCCTCTTGGCGGCCGTGAGCCCGTACTTCCGGGCGATGTTCACCAGCCCTCTGGTTGAGTCCCGCCTCACCGAGATCCGACTGGAGGAGGTGACACCGTCCGTCATGGAGACCGTCATTCAGTTTGTGTACACCGGGGAAGCGGGGCTCTCTCTGGAAACAGCCGAGGACCTTTTTGTGGCAGCGAACCGGCTTCAGGTCATGCCCCTTCAAGACCTGTGCTCCAGGTAAATCTGCTGTGAGAGGGGGACAGATGATGAGGTTTTTAATCTTTTACTCGAGCTAGTCACATTTTTGCTTTCACACAACAAAGACTCTGCTCTGTTTTCAGGTTTTTCCACCTGCCTGTCTGATTTCCGCACCAATTTCATCTTATTCCTTTTTCCTTGTGTCCTTTTCTCCACTTCACCTTTTCCTTATCGCTCCAGGTTCCTATTCGAGCACCTCTCAGTGGATAACTGCCTGGGGATGTACTCTCTTGCTCGCTCTCATCATGACCAGCTGCTGCTGCGTGCCTCCCTGCGTCTGGTAGCCCAGCACTTCCCCCGTGTGGCCCGGCAGAAAGACTTCCTCCTGCTGGACCACGGCACCTTAGGGAGCCTCCTGAGCTCCGACCGTCTGGGGGTGGACTCTGAAGCAGAGGTTTACGATGCGGCACGTCGCTGGGCAGAGCACCAACCCTTGGATCGCTACGCCCACATGCCGGCGCTGCTTCACCACCTGCGACCCGGGCTGCTGTCCCAAGAAGAGAGCAGAAGACTTTGCCAGGAGTTGGGGCCTGCCGCAGCTGGTGAGGGCCTTGGGGGGCCACTGAGACCTCGGGAGGGCATGTTTGAGAAAAAGATCGTCTGTGTGGACCTGACACCTCGGGAAGATGAGGATTTAGCCAGAAGAGACTACACAGTGGACTGCTTTGATCCACGGACAGGGAAGTGGGAGAAGTTAGCGGCGCTGGGTTCTCTGGTCAGTCCCGGCTGTACGGCTGTAGGGGACCGGCTGTTTGTAGCAGGTGGGATCCTGCGGACGGGCTCTGTGTCTGCAGCTGTGCATGAATATGATGCAGTTCTTGACCGCTGGATGGAGAGGCCTTGTATGTTTCAGCCCCGAGCTATGCTGGGTCTACTGGGCTGTGGAGACTCACTCTATGCCTTGGGTGGTAGTAACCGCTCTGCTCTGCTGGACTCCAGTGAGACTCTGGAGCTATCTACACTGCAGTGGGCTCCGGGACCTCGACTACCGCTCCCTCTGCGTGCCTTTGCCTGTGCAGCACTGCGTGGGCGGCTCTACCTTCTTGGTGGAACTACACTTGAACAGAACCGGGCTGTGGTCCACTCAGGGGTGCTTATTTATCACACCCTCACAGACTGCTGGACGCGTGTGTCTCTGGACTCTGGTGCCACCTGCCTCGCTGGAGGAGTGGCTGTTCGAGGAGGGGTCTGTGCAATCGGAGGATATATGAGAGATACAACCAAGTTCCTGGATGGAAACTACACCAATCTGGAGACTTTAGACGCCACCGGGCGTGTGCTGTTTTTCAGGGAGGGCAGGGGGTCTGGAGTAGAGAGGGAGGTGACTGGGGGGAGGAGTCATGGTCAGCGCAGAGCAGCGGGGGGGTTGCAGGTGGTGGAAGCGACCGAGCGCCGAGCCCTGTGGTATTCCCAGGGCTGCCTCGGCGGATAGCGGCGGGGGGTGTGGCCAGGTGGAAACGCAGGATTTATGTGCTGGGTGGGGAAAATGGCTCACGGTTTTATGACAGTGTATACTGTTGGAAGCCCGGTTGGCGCAGCTGGGTCCAGAGACGGGAGAAACTCCCCGGAGACACTGGAGGGGTGAGCCAGTTTGGGTGTACCACCTTAAAGTTCCCCAAGAAACACATCCTGTCCAGACTGAGACTAGCCAAAGAAAACTGCAAGAAGGCAGTTGACTAGCTGAATGGAGACCAGTAGGACGGAAGTGGAGTCTGTTGTTCATGTGACACAGAGACGGGCTCCAGGCGGAGGTTGAATTAGCTCCTTCTTGACCTCAATACATTTTGATCTTCAGAGGAAGTAACAAGGAAGAAACCATTTTGTACGATGTGAGTGCAGCCACAGAGAAGGCCTGTAATGGATGCACATGGATCTTATAGAAATGAATACAGAAATATTCAGGAAGAGCGAAAGTGGAGCCACAAACTGGCAGTCAGGCGTCCTGCACCTGAATGTAACGTTATCCACTATTGGTCTGAGCAGTCAGGTCCTTTGAGAAAGAAATTTTAAAAAAAAAGGCCTTTCATTGATTTCTTTCTTGAACTATGTAATGTTATTTTCAGATTCTTACTGGTGAAATATGTTCAAGGCTGTTTGGAAATCTTTTAATGCTGTGAAGTTTTCAGTATTGTTCAGTTTAGACACAAGGATACAGAAAAACCGTGGCAGTAAAAGTTATTTGCTGACGATGTTAAAGTTGACCTATTCTGCTGATCCTCTTTTTTAAAAATCACAGTGTTACAAAGCTGGATGTCCAAACTAAATGTGAGTAAAGTGTCAGATCATGAGACAAATTCATACTGGAGTAATCTCAGGATGAGTCTGCAGAGGGCGCTAAACAGCTTGTTCTGCAAATCACACTATAGTTTGTCGATATGAAGAATTTCCAGAGACAACTTCAAGCCTCTACATAAACCACTGAAACCTCTTACATTGGTTCTCTTCTCTGAGCACTGGAGAGCAGCCCTCCCCTGGCAGCCCTGCAGCGTTCAGAGGAAAGTGGGGAGGGAGGGGGGTCTTAAAGAGACAGCAGCTGAAACAACCGTTTCAGGCAGAGGCTGAAATTAGTTTTTTTTTTTTTTTACTGAAGCCAGTATCAGATAAATAAGGAGTTCTATGAGCTGCACATCATGCTGCTCTAAAAGTTTCACAGACTGACATCCTGAAAGGTGAACATGAGGAGGAGATGGGATATTTTTAACGTCTTGCACATACATGATCGTGCAGGTAAATCATGACTCTTGTGCAGGCTGATAATCCACTGTGAAAGACCTAAAGTAGATAGTCATGATGGTACAATGATGCCGACTGTTGTAAAGATGACCCTCAGTATCCTTGTGTCTGAACGAGCACTGTCCAGCAGATTCCCAAAACCTTGGATCCCGGTGAATTTGTGTCTTTACTTGATTCTGTAGCTGTGTCAAAAATACCTTCTTTTTTTATTTCTGTTTGAATTCCTCCAGCTACAGGACTTCTGAATGTTTAGGCTATGGATTATCTGAATACCTTAGTGTTCTTCTTAATTTATTGAAATGTGTTTTGAAAGGTTATTTTTGTTATAAACGTTGTGTTTCTCTCTGGAGGGTGCTGTGACGTTCGACAGTTGGGGGAAACAGGAGCTGATGTATTGGATAGTCAATGAGGGTTTAAACTCAAATCTTAACTGATGATTTTAGTCGAGGTCAGAAAGATGAGCTCATACATGTAAGCACAATGTTTTGCTTTTAGCCACTCTTTTTTTCTTGCATTGTTTTTCTTCTTTTTTTCTGTTTTCTTCATATTGCTCAAATAAAGAGACGTCTGCTGGATGACAACATTCAGACACCGTCGTCCTCAGATTGCAAACTCCCAAACAGTGACAGGAAATGTCCACTAGGGGTTTATGTTGAAGCTTTGATGGGACCAGTGGTGTAGCGCAGGGTATACGATCCATAGGGTGTACCCTCTTCTAAATCCTCTTGATTCACAGTATTCAGTCATATGCTGCAGTTTTGTTCCGAGCATGGTGAAGGGACGACCCTCCCTTCTCTGTCTCTAACGGGCAAGTACACTAACTTAACATGCAAGAGGAGTTGTACATGGACCGCACACTTAATAAAAACATTTAGAGGAATATTAAGAGTATACTCGACTTCTTCAGGCAGCACTACACCACTGGTTAGGGCTCCTTACTTCACAGAAACTGAAGGTATACGTTTGGGGGTCACGTGCTGCGATACTCCAAATCAGGAAACTGATAAACGTTCAATAAAGGGATCGCTGCGCAATTCCTTTGACATTATAAGAAATGGGGTTTAAATAGTGAAACACAGCAGGAAATGGTACCGATACGGAGGCAAACACACAACAAACCAAGTGAATGGTTAACAGACATCAGCAAGTTTGTGTTTCCTTCAAAAACAAATCACACTGCGCTGTTTAATTTCAGGCACCATGCTCTGAATCTTCACCTTAAAACTTTCAGGTTAAGTCTTTGTTTCCATCGGTGCGCTTACGGTATGTGTGTATGCATGCATGTTTTTTTTCTATGCTGAGGCGTACATTTGTTCAACACGTCCACGCTGTTGTGGATTTTTCTGTTGGTAATGAAAGATCTCAAGTCAAAGTCTTTTGTCTTTGTGTATTTTATTGCATATAGTCAAGAGTTCTTTTGCAAAAAGGGTAATTAGCTACAAAAGTAACATCAGTCACAAGTGCATCAAAGATTCCCGGGGCAGTCCCGGTTGCAGAGCATATTTATACTTTCACAGGGTGTAGGTATATTACATATACATGAGTAATACATCGTCATTGGTTTTAGCTTGCCCTAGTGACTACACCTGCTAGTTTGCTGTATCTAACACCAACAGAAACTCCTTTGTTCGGAGGGCACTGATTTAGGGTCATGCTGTGCCCAGATACTGAGGGGAGTTCCTGTTGGAGATACAGACCAAGGCCATACAAAGAAACAGTTTCTAATTGCTAAATGACACACGAACATCCTAATCTTTTTAAGGTCAAACGAAGACAATAGACAGATAGTATTTTTCCACTACAACGCTCACACGGTGTGTGTCCATGCAGAGAAGTGAAGCTGCCCTCATTTGTACGATCTGATGAAGAGTGTGAACTGAAAAGAACAGAACATGGTGTTTGGATCAACTGAATAAAGGACTATTTGCTTACTTTTAATGAACTGTTGCCTTTTTTTTCTTCTTTAAATTCTGATGACATTAACTGTAGCAGCTGATGTCACAGTTAACATTTATACTATAGTGGCATGAACAGCTGTTTGTTTACACTAAAGCCCTGTTTACACCAAGCGGTCTGCTTTAGTTCCACTCGGTACGGTTCACGTTTATAGGTGTCCATTGTCAACATTTTCTGAAGGGTACCAAAATAACTGATCTGTACCATCCTATTTTTATGGTGTCCTTCTGTTGGAGCTAGACACACTGCACTCAAAAGAATCTTCACATCCTGTCTGACAGCGGTAATAAAGGACAAACACAAAACCCACTATGTTTAAACTTCCTGTGGATTTTTTAAGGCTGTTTTTTGTTTTTTGAGACTAATGTGAGTGCGTAGTTGGGCTTATGGCAAAATCTGAATGTCTGCAGGTAAACAGCTGAACGCTGGTGAAACTACAGCTAAAACTGCTTCCCATCGTTTGGTGTTAATAATTAGTCTAATTTAAAAATTGCTGAATCTGCCCATGCTCATAGCTGGCCGAAGTTCAAACCATACCCCCCTTAAATCGACTGAACGCCTCAGTGTTTCACAGGATGTCTCGTTTGTCACCCTGATGTTTGTCAAAGTGCCGGTGATATCTTTTGAAAAGCAAAGCAGCAGAATAATCACAGGCAAGTAGCAGCTTGTTGAAGTGCTTTTAGATTGAATTGGAGCAATGGAGAATCCATCATCAAACAAAGGGACCATCAACAACCCAGCAGACATCTGCGTCATTGTTGGATATTTTGTCATGGTTATTGGCGTTGGCATTTGGGTAAGAGTCTACTTATTGCAGGTATATTGTTTGCAGCTTGTCTTTGCATATGGTTTGTGAGAATAATAGCCGTGTCCTCTCTGTTTGAGTCCATGTTTCGGTCAAACCGTGAGACCGTTGGAGGATACTTCTTGGCCGGGCGCACCATGAGCTGGGGGCCGGTGAGTTCAAAAAGAGATAAACTCTGTAACAGTGTCAGCATGTAGTTATTAGATAATTGGAAAAGACAAAATTAAAGTGTTTTACAAGTGAGACAAAAATATTACTACCATCACATGTCCACCAGAGGGCACTCAAATGTCCTGCTCATAGGTCATAATGAGTTAGGATTTAACTTCTAGTGGAAATATTAGGAGGGGGCTGGCAGGAAAAACTCCAGATAAAGTCAGGCCGGGTGTGTTCACACATGCATGTCTGATAAATGTAATGTTCACCATCTACTTCCAAATAAAATATGTTTACATGTGTCACCTCAAACATTGTGTCATGGAAGAAAGGAATCCAAAGAAAGAGTTTGTCGTCTTACTTTAGAACCTTTTGGATCAAGAACATGCAAATCTTTTTATTCACCTGTTGTTGTGCTCTTAAAGGTCACATATAAAAATTCACTTCAACATGTTTCTCTAACACTAATATGTGTTCCTAGTCGGTCTACAAACCCCCCAGTGATGAGAAAAGTCCATCCTCTCCATCTTTTGCCTGCTCCACTTTTCAGAAAATGTGTGCTCAAACAGGCTGTTTGGAGATTTTCCCTTCATGACATCACAAAGGGCAGTAGCCCCTCCCCCAGGTGGGTGACACTCCCACAGCTAGGTGTTTGTTCTGCCATCTGAGTCTGCCTTCTCACCGTAAACAATAGGGCATGGAGTGAGAAAGCCCTAGTACACCCAAGCCCTTCCAGAGAGGGGGCGTGGTCAGACACAGCTCATTTACATTTAAAGGTACAGACACAGAAACAGCCTGTTCTGATCAGGGCTGAAATAGATGGGTTTATAGACATGATCAAATACAGGATCAGAGTGGATTAAGAACAAGAAACTTCACACACATGTTTTGGGGAACTCTGAGACTTATTTAAAGTGGTTAAAAAATGAGCAGAATATGTGACCTTTAGGGAATATGATGTTGTACTGTAGGCTACTGCTGTAACTGTTGATTTATTTGTTTATTTGTGTGTGTGAAGCTCTTACCTGTCCATTTTCCCGTTAAGGTTGGTGCATCTTTATTTGCAAGCAACATCGGCAGTGGACACTTTGTGGGCTTGGCTGGAACTGCAGCAGCTAGTGGCATCGCTGTCGGAGGGTTCGAGTGGATTGTAAGTCACAGTTCACACTCACGGCACAATCCTTCACTTTACATGACTGTGCTCCAATTCAGTCAGCTGTATTTTGGTTACACACAGTATGATTGGGAGTTGTTTATCTTGTGTATCAGGCGCTGTTCATTGTGCTGCTGCTCGGCTGGTTGTTTGTACCCGTCTACCTCACAGCTGGGGTAAGAAGTCCAGGCTGAATGATCAATGCAACAATGCGATGCCTCCTGTAAGTTCTAAATTTAATTGCATAAATGTGCTGTGTTAGGTGATCACGATGCCCCAGTACCTGAAGAAGAGGTTTGGGGGAACCAGGATCAGCCTCTATCTCTCCGTTATCTCTCTGTTCCTCTACATTTTCACCAAGATCTCAGTGAGTCATTCTGTCGGCACGCACACAGCCAGAAAAACAAACAGTTGTGTATTATTTTTCTTCATGTCGTCCCGGTTTGCCCCTCTCTCTGCCTCGCTACAGGTGGATATGTTTGCAGGAGCCGTGTTCATCCAGCAGGCGTTGGGGTGGAACATCTACGTGGCCGTCATCAGCCTTTTGTGTATAACAGCCTTGTACACTGTCACTGGTATGTTTGCAGAATGTGAAGAACTGACCCGCATGTCAGGAATATTTACGTCTTACATTTTTGCATAAAATACCGGAATGAAAACGTTTACAGACATTGAACAGCTGCATTGTTCTATGAAGGCCCTGAAGAAAAAAACACAAATAAGATACAACATATCAAAACAATATTTCACACAAAAAAACCTGAGAGTCATCAGCCGTCTGTTGCTGCAGGGGGCATGGGAGTCCCATTGATGGCGGTCTCCATGCCGGAAATGCTGGTCACCTTCAGAGCAGAGATAAAAATGAACAACAAGGCAACAATGAAAAGACAAACTTACGGACATAAAATCATTGTGAAGATAATTCAAGAGACAGGGTGGATAATGATCAAACGATGATCGAGATTGTGATGTGGAAAGGAGACGAGTAGAATCTTCAAGACGCTACGATATTTAAGCGGAGCCAATGAAGCTGCTGAAGGACGGGAGTGATGTGATTAACTGGGGGGGCTTTCTCGAGACTCTGGACCACTTGAAGTTTGTTGATGGGTTTTGGCCTTTCTTGTTAAACGTGCCGCTCTCAAGTCCCCAAACCTTATAAGAGTCTACCTAAAACGTGAAGTATGCCTTTAATCAAGATTGCTGTACATGTATACATTTAAAGGCTTGTGTGTCTGTGTGTTACCAGGTGGCCTGGCTGCTCTGATGTACACTGACACAGTTCAGACTTTTGTCATCATAGCCGGAGCCTTCATCCTCTCCGGCTTCTGTGAGTAAAACCATGAGCTATATATTATGACATTGATTTTCATCACACGACACACAGCTGTGTCACCCTCCCCAAGCAGCTCCACAACATGCAAGAGATTAACCAGGGTTAGTAATTTCAGCTGATGCTGACGCTGCAGAGCCAAAGTACAACATGTCAATATATTTCAGTCTGATCCTGATGTAGATCAAAGATTAGAGGTCACATATTCTCAGAGCTACCCAAAACATGTCTGCAGTTTCTTCCACTCTGATCCTGTATTTGATCATGTCTATAAACCCCTCTATTTCAGCCCTGCTCAGAACAGGCTGTTTCTGTGTCTGTACCTTTAAATGTATATTTCTCACTCCATGTCCTATTGTTTACAGTGAGAAGGCAGACTCAGAGGGCAGAACAAACACCTAGCTGTGGGAGTGTCACCCACCTGGGGGAGGGGTTACTGCCCTTTGTGATGTCATGAAGGGAAAATCTCCAAACGGCCTGTTTGAGCACATATTTTCTGAAAAGTGGAGCAGGCAAAAGACGGGGAGGATGGACTTTCCTCATCATTTGGGGGGGGGGATTGCAGACAGACTAGAGACACATATTAGTTTTACAGAAACATGTTGAAGAAGATTTTGCAGAACACGTTTCCTTTAAGTCAAAGCAGTCAGACGAGATAGACGTGTCAGAGGAACCAGTGGAGAAGGAAAAAACGACCCCCTCTCTTTGTGAGCTGGTGATGCGTTGAGGAGACTATGCTGTCTCAGCAGCTGACTCATCTCTTCAGTTAAGACAGTACGTCCTGTTTTACATGTGATGATGGTGAAAACAATATTATCCAGATTATATAGTGAATTTAAGGGAGCTGAGCTGAAGAAGGACATGAAGTGATGGTCATAAAACTGTATGGAAACTCACCATACTGGTCCAGATGAGCGTTTGGCCTTTTTTTGATGTTTCCTTAAAGTCAAAGTACTCACTTTTCTTCTCTCTTTTTCACTTCTAGCTTTTGTTGAAGTAGGAGGCTACAGCGCTCTGCTGGACAAATACAGCGCTGCAAAGCCAAGCAACGTGTCCTCCATAGATCCTCAGAGCTACAGCATACCGCCCCACTGCTACACACCAAGACAGGACGCCTTCAGCCTGCTGAGGGACCCCATCGCAGGGGACCTGCCCTGGCCGGGAGTGTTGTTTGGGATTTCCATAGTGGGAAGTTGGTACTGGTGTACAGACCAGGTGAAAACCCCTCTGAATACCCTTGTCAGTTGAAATGTGGCTCCAGATTTTCACTGGAAAAGAATAGATAAGATAAAAAATACATTAAAGGTGAAAGGAAAATGATTTAGACAGAACTATCAGTCAGGATGGGACGCATTTACGCCTCCCATTCTGAGCACGGCGTCAAAGGGGGAGAGTAGCCATGTAGATATGGTGATATGGTGTAGATATGATAGAAGCAAAGAGCCACTTGATTTTGATCGTGGCATTTTTTTTCTAAAGATTTATTTTCGGGCTTAATACCTTCATTAGAGAGACAGGAAATTGGGGAGAGAGAGAGAGAGTAAAGAAAAGGAGCCACAGGTAGGATTCAAACCCAGGAGGCCTATGTGGAGGACTCCAGCCTCGGTACATGGGGCGAGCGCACTAACCACTAGGCTACCAGCCCTCTTTGCTGCTTCCTCAAAATCTGTGTTTATGACAATATTGATTCAAATAAAAATAGACAACTGTCAGTTTCTTCTCCTTCAGTGTGAAGACAAACTCGGCATAACTCCCTGACCACAGTCTTTTGAAATATGAAATAATGTCTGCTCTCATGTTCTTCTCCAGGTGATTGTTCAGCGGTGCCTCGCAGCTCGAAGTCTGACCCACGTCAAGGCCGGCTGCATCATGTGTGGCTACCTCAAACTGCTGCCAATGTTCCTCATGGTGTTCCCCGGCATGGTCAGCAGAGTCCTCTACCCAGGTCTGTTGCTTACCTTTTAGAACCTTTGGAAACCACAAAAAGTGAGAAATGTCACACAGCAGAGAACATACAGAGGCCATTCTGAGAGATATGTGTGTGTGTGTGTGTGTGTGTGTTTCCATGCAGATGAGGTGGGCTGTGTTGTCCCCGAGATCTGCAAACAGGTGTGCGGCACTGCGGTGGGCTGCTCCAACATTGCTTATCCTAAGCTGGTGGTGTCAATCATGCCAAACGGTGAGGACAAAAATACCTGCACCTAAAATGAATCAGATACAGAGTGATGGCTGAAGCTCTATATTAATCTCATCTGTGATTCAATAGTGCTCTTATTGATTTTTCCCCTGTGGGTCTCGACTCGACCCCCAGTTTATGAGCTTAAAAAGAATTTCACTTGAACCGTCTCATGAGGGAGGTGTCTCAGACGGCCTCCCTCTTGCTGTAACAGAACACTCATTCTCACTGTTGGTTGCTATTAGAGCCCGACTGATTAAATGGCCAGCCGATAATATCGGCCAATATTAGCATAGCCAGTGACAATCGGTATCGGCTATTTTTATCACGGATATGCGCCGATATTACTTGATGTACTCACCAGTCAAACAGCATTTAATTTGAATATTATTGTATTACACTAGCAGTTCTCTTTCACCAGCAGAGGGCGCTATATGGATTACAACAAGCATCATCACTCCCCAGAGTGTCGAGTGGTGATGCATGTCCAGTACATGTTCAGTTATTTTCCAGTTGAGTGACCATCCTGTCTCCACTATAAATCTTTTCCACAAGTGTTCGATAACTGCATTTGAGGAATCAAAACAATAAATGTGTGTATCTATATCTATCTCCACAGATGGAACATAGATTTAAGAACGATATCGGCCAATATATCTGTATCCATTTTTTTCCCCCTAATATAGGTATCGGTCGGGCCTAGTTGCTATATTGTCTCATTTTGCCTCCTTAGAGATTTAGATTCGTCTTTCGTTTAGCCTGTTGTTTCCTGACACCCTGAATATGATCTTGGCTTGAACCTCACTCGTGTCAGAAAGACGTAGCCAGCTTTGTTGTGAACTTCTGTTTTCTTACACATTACCTGAACGATCCTCTTTCTTCCTGCCGCCTCTGTGCAGGTTTGCGAGGTCTGATGCTGGCAGTGATGCTGGCCGCTCTCATGTCCTCTCTGGCCTCCATCTTTAACAGCAGCAGCACGCTGTTCACCATGGACATCTGGACCCGCATCCGACCACAGGCCACAGAGCGTGAGCTCATAATTGTCGGCAGGTGAAGAGTGAACAAAGTGAACCATGTTCCTGTAGGCAGGCTGCGGACAAATCCTCAACATCTGTCCAACCCAGTCTCACACACTCATGCAAGCGTCCATAATGTAAATGATGCAATACTGTGAAGGCGAATATCTAAATGACCTCAGAGGATCACATGCTACATGAAGAAAACACCCATTATTCACAAACTCAAAAAACAATGTCCTAAAGAAAGGACTAGAATATAAAGAATACATGTAGAAGCATATTTTCAAATTAGTTTTTTTACTTTTTTGAAACACATCTTTACATGTTGCCCCTGAAATCCTCCTGATCTCAGACAGTCTACGGTCGTGCACCAATCGCACCCTCCCACTCGCTCGAGGTGAATTCTCCTGATTATATCATTCTGCGTTCCTACATCAGCTCACTCAGACTTTCTGCGAAAGAAATATTCGGAGGCTGGCAGGAAAAACTCAAATAATTGACGAACAAATAATTTGACTGTTTTCGTTCACACATGCAGCTCACCTCCGATGTTGAAAAATGAAGCTGATGCAGAAGTGCAAAATCCTGCACTTCCTCAATTGTCCACTAGAGAGGCTGGCTGCAGAAACACAGGAAGTCACATACACACCCATTCTAAAACACCTGTTTTTACAGCAGAGATAAACATGTTTAGAGCCTGGTTCAAAAAACCAAATAGTTCTGATTAGCTCATGTCTCGATCGGCACACACTGTGAGGAGGTGAATTTTTTAATAACACATCCGTTATTCGGTATAAAAGTATAAAAGATTTATTCACAATCAGGCGCGTAGCCGACCATATTGACAGGATGGTGCAATGTAACGGTTTGTCAAGAGGATTAAAACTGAATTTCTCAGAATTTTCCATAGCAGATACAATGTATGATCATTAGTATGATTAAATTCTATAGAGATAAGTTGAAACCCAGATGATCAGGATGTGATTTATATCACAACTAAAATAAACTACATGAAGCTTTGTAGCTTTAAAAAAGTGCAGTTTTGACTTATTGTACAGTGAATGTGTCTCAGGATTTGTTTGTGAGGCGGTAAATGTTTGAGTTTGGACGAGTAACAAACCTTCCACATTTGTCCTCTCTCTCTTTAGAGTCTGGGTTCTCTGCATCGTGGCCGTCAGCATCTGTTGGATCCCCGTCGTCCAGGCGGCTCAGAGCGGTCAGCTGTTTGATTACATCCAGTCCATTTCAAGCTATCTGGCCCCGCCCATAGCTGCAGTCTTCCTCCTGGCTGTATTCATCAAGAGGATCAATGAGACAGTGAGATGATGAATGTTTTTTTATACATCATTAAATCATAGTTTTACCCCTTGTAAAATCATATCAAGAGAAAATGTGATTTTCTGTCCCATCCTGCAGGGTGCGTTCTGGGGACTGATAGGCGGCCTGCTCATGGGTCTGTGTCGGATGGTGCCTGAGTTCTGGTTTGGGACCGGCAGCTGTATTTTCCCCTCCAACTGCCCTGTGCTCATTTGTGGGGTCCATTACCTTTACTTTGCCATCATACTCTTCTTCTGTACCTCAGTGCTGGTACTGGTGGTGAGCTACTGCACCCAGCCGACAGACGATCAACATGTGAGTGTCTTCTTACTAACTCTGCTCACTGATTCAAATATACAGAACATCCTAAACGTTTGGGTAACAAGAACACGATTCTGAGCCAAATAAATCACTTGTATAACATCCCATAAAGCTCATGTGAGGAGGATATTTATTACTGGCTGTGAAACACACTTTAGTAAAAAGGTGTTGCCTCTTTATGACCTTTAAAAAGAAACCAGAACATCCGCTTAAAGATGTATAATTCTTAATGTCTGAAACCCCTGCTGGGGTTTAGGAAGTGGTGGACAGTAACATGTACATTTACTTAAAGGTCACATATTCTGCAAAACACACTTTACCATGTTTCTCTAACACTAATATGTGTCCCTAGTCCATCTACAAGTGATGAGAAAAGTCCATCCTCTCCGTCTTTTGCCTGCTCCACTTTTCAAAAAACGTGTGCTCAAACAGGCTGTTTGGAGATTTTCCCTTCATGACATCACAAAGGGCAGTGACCCCTCCCCCAGGTGGGTGACAATCCCACAGCTAGGTGTTTGTTCTGCCCTCTGAGTCTGCATTCTCAACGTAAACAATAGGACATGGAGCGAGAAAGCCAGAGTACAACCAAGCCCTTCCAGAGAGGGGGCGTGGTCAGACACAGCTCATTTACATTTAAAGCCACAGCCACAGAAACAGTCTGTTCTGATCAGGGCTGAAATAGGTGGGTTTATAGGCATGATCAAATACAGAATCAGAGTGGATTTAAAACAAGAAACTTCACAGACATGTTTTGAGGAGCTCTGAGACTTATTTAAACTTGTTGAAGAGGAGGAGAATGTGTGACCTTTAAGTACTGTACTTACTGCAGATGGTAAGCGTCTGTGTTTTCCTTACAGCTCCATCGCCTGGTGTTCAGCCTGCGTCATTCCAAAGAGGAGAGAAAGGATTTGGACTGGGATCAGCAGGAAAAAGAAAGGATAGCCCGGAGAGAGGCTGAGTCCAGGATGAGGGAGAAGAACACCAGTGAAGGTGAGAAAGAAAGAAAAAAGCTACAGTTAAAAAGCAGGACACACATATACATATAGAAAACACTAACCCCTCCCTCTTCCTCTTAGTGGCTGAAGAGGACAATAAGGATGGCTTCTGTGGTGGGCTTGGTCGGGTCTGTGGCGGGAACCAGGTTCAAGAGCAGGACACACCTGAGGAACCGGAGAAGCTGCCTGACATCAGCGAAGACCGGTGTGGAAGAACACTGCGGATGTTAACGCCCTCATTATGATGGCTGTGGCATGTTTTCTGTGGGGTTACTTTGCTTAACTTTCAAACTTAACCTGATTAAAAGTGGGTGTTGAATGTGAGTAGATCTCTGTTTTTCTATTTTAATTATACACTGCAAAGACAAAGACCAAATACAAGTTACAAGGACACATCACAAAGACGTTTTGCCAGACATTACAGATTATAAAATATAATAGACTGCACAGGAAGTCATGATCACCGCTCCTAACAAGGTTTCCGGCAGTAGCTCAGTCCGTAGGGACTTGGGTTAGGAACCGAGGGCTTGCCGATTCGGGTCCCGGTGGTGTGGACCAAAATACACCACTACAACTAGTGCTCACTTCAGGGGATACTCCCTCTGGTGGCGTATACGAATAACTACAGCTCAATAAAAAAATCATCACAAGCATATATTTCTATTCGTCTTTTCTTTCACATAATAACTTCAACAACTGTGACTACACATTTGCGGTTGTCAGACAACCAATCAAGTAAAATTTCATTATATTGACTTCAAACTACGTCATCAATTGTCAAAAGAAAATTAATTTTAAGGAAATTTCTTGCCAAACTCGATGCATGAATGCATCTGTCAATCTATCTGTCGCGATCTGTTCCCTGGGCTTTTATTTTGACACTTTTTTCATACCCTGACCCTTGCCTGTCTGTACACCCTTAACGGTTTCCACACTTCACTGCATGTCTCCGATTTTAAAAAGGATGTGTACTTCCGTCTGAGATGTTTATATCGAGTTTGAATGCCATTACTGTCTACGGTTACACGTTTATTCAATCACAGGGCCGCGCCTAAAAGGTGTGAGATAAAAGCAGCTATTCAGAAACGGATAAATGTTCACTCCAAGCCCCACCCACAGACTGAATAAAGAAATAAAAAGCAATGAATGTCGTTATCACCAGCGGCGATTCTGGAGTCTATTGGGGCCCTAGGCAAAAACTAAATGGGGGGGCCCCCCCAACCAGTGTTCATCACCATTATATCTGCCAGTGTCCCCTGCTTAGCAGGGCAACCCTGAACTGCTCTGTGGCCATAAGCAGGTGCCTGCCTTGCCTGTTGACGAGCAGCGCCTCTGGTTATCAATAAATACCTGAGTTCATGCTCAGTGAGATTCGATTTTTCTCGAGTCATTTCAGCCCCTAATGCACGTCAGCTTTTTGCTCAAGTATAACTTTTGAGCTGAAATCACATGAACACACTGAAGTCGGGAGAACGACTTCCCAACTCAGAAACTTGGACCACCCAAGCAGCACCTGAATGCAGCATTTTTACCCGAGTTCCCTAGTTGTTGTTCCGACTTGAGCAGGCGTTCATGTGCATTTTACAACTCAAAGAAACTTGTTTTTCCCGATGTGCCTGAAACCACATGAATGCACCATGAGATACAACTTCAGTATTACAACAAGCATCAAGTATGAGTGAAAAAATGCATGAAAAAAATGTGAAGTGGATGAGAAAAAAAATGAAGAAACAGAGCCTTGTATAGAATAGCATTAATACGAGTAGAAAAATAGATATTTTTTTTATTTGCAGTTACTTTGCTTCGATGAGGCCCATCCTTGGGTTTAAAAACTTTGTGATCGTAGCTTTAAAAAGATTCAATGTGCACTTTGTTTTGCAGTCACACAGAGGAGAGATGTTCAAAACAGGGATGATCTCTGATAAAACATGAGAAGCCTGGCGTCTGTCATCAAGAAGGACAAATAATTTAATCAATCATTGTTAAATACACATTGCTCAAAGCTGCCTGCTATTCATCAGTCACCACACAAACCACATAGTGATTCAGATTTCCAGTTTTAATCATCACTTCTGTTTTTATTTAAGCAGATATTTCCCATTAGCATTGTACATGTCTGGGACCTACAGAGTTCTCCCAATACTACCCAACCATCATCCCACCTCCATGCAGAGTTTCATCATTCATCGTGTGAGTTCTTTAATGTCCAGTCTGTCAGATTGGGGGGGGGGGGGGACAGCAAGGAGAAGGAGGGAGGGACGTGAGGAGAGGAGGTTTTTCCAAGACTGAAGGGTCAGAGCCGTCACCAGGCACTGTTCATCTTACACTCCCACAAAAAGAGTTCTGGGTGGATCCAGTAGAGCTGGATGGACTCAATCAAGCATCTGAAATCTAGCCTCTTACAGGGTCCTGTGCAACTCCCATTACTCTTGATCATCTTTGAGGTATCTGACGCCTCAATCTCCTGCAGGGCGGGTAAGAGGTAGGGGGCTTTTAAGGCTGGAAGCTGGTGTAGAGAGTTTCTGCGGTCTGTGGTAGTCGGTTTCACCCGCTTCGAAGCATGAATGACATTTTTGGCAAACACTGCCCTCTGCCGGTTCGGAGGGGGAGAGGAGGAAAGGAAGAGAGCTGGGGGAGTCAGAACAAAGATGGAGTATTTAAAAAATACATCTCTGCAGGTGTAGTAGGGTGACAGACTGATAACGGGGAGAACGCAGTCCTCAAGAATAAAAGCAAAATATAACAGCAAACATTCTCTGACACACACCCCAATAAATCTGTCAAACAAAAAAAATAAACAAAACAGAACAAAACAAAATGGCAAACAAGCAAGTCAATCAAACCATACAAAGTGACATCAGGCCTTTCCAAAGTGACATCAAGTTTCTCTTTTTCATCCCATTCAATCTCACTGTTCTTAATCATTTAAGTCCATCTCCCATAATTCTGTGCAAACCAGACAGTACACGTTGGCTCCTCTTTATGGCTGATCAGCAAGGTTAGGGTCCACTCTAAAATAATGGAGAAAAAAAACAGGTCCCAGGGGCCAGTGTTTCTGGCTAGTACTGTGAGACGGTGTCCATCATAAACAAATGGTATTCCTATTTCAGAATCAACTGTGTCAGTGACACAGGCAATGATTTCAGCAGCATTATCAGGGGACTGATGGACATAGCACAATGTTACAGCACATTCAGAGAAATAGAAACGCATGGCGCGGGACAGGTACAAATGTTAATCTGGTACAACGGAAAATCAAGTTTGCTTTATACAATCACATTTCTATAGCAATGCTGAAAACATTCCGCCACTGAAAACGTTTACATCTGTTGGGATTCAGTACAGCTCATTCCTCGAAGCACCATTGTACAGCTAACGTGGAAGTTTGTGATACAACACAAAACATAGAACATGTATCGGGAACAGTAAGCAGGCTCTAGGGCATTACATTTCTATGCGTCACCTTTATGAATGCTAATCTCAATCATATACACTGCAAGTTTTCACATGAATTACCTAACAACCATGTACTGAGTTAGACAGAAACCCAAATGAGTGAGAGGCAGAAAGAGGGCTGACTGACAGCAGCAGGAGGGGACCCCAACCCTGGTATGCAAACTTTTAAAAAGGTGCCACTCTGGAGCACATCGGGAGGACAGAGGGATTCTGGAGGGCTTGAAAAACAAAAAGGCAAGGAGAGTGACACACCTCTCTTCCTTCTTTACCTCTCACCTTCCTCTACCGAGGGGAAGAATGAGAAGGGAGTGCTGGAACAAAGACAGGCAAAACGGTCCTGGAGTGCTGATTCCTCCTTACACCCCTCTCTCAACTCCTGTTCGTCGTCTGAACAGAGGCGAGAGGGAGAAAGAAAGAGGTAATCAGGAGGAGATGAGAGTTGGGTGAGGTGTACTCTTTTCTCTCTACCTCGCCTCCTCCCTCCTGTCCTCTCTCTTGGTGCGAATGGGCTGAGAGCCATCAGCAGGCTGCTGGACCCAGTTGTTATCGTGGAGTCCAACACGGCAGCCAGGTGTGTCCTTGTCTGTACGCCGGCAACACATCCAGTAGGAACGTCCATAAGGCAGGTCGTGGTGGTAAGGTTTGGGGTGCCAACGGCACAGGGAAACATCCCCGCGCTCATATTGCCGCTTACACTGCTTGCAGGGGTCATCCCGATAAAGAGGGTCTTGGTTCCAGCGTGAATCTACAGCCCGCACCCCATATGTCTCGATCAACACCTTGAAGTAGTGGCAGGTGCACTTGAGGGCAGCCAGCGAGCGCGTGGGCAGGTAGCTGAAGATGTTGACCATGATGTGGTCGGGCAGCAGCAGCATGTACTGACGAGGTTCAAGGAGGCGCTGAATCTGAAAACGGATTTCAAGGAAATCGTGGGACACGTGGCGGTAGAGGCGACAAAGGGAAGGGTCTGAACAGTCCTCTCCAACACTAGGAGAATCTGGTCGAGTTGCCCGCTCCCCCGAGCCCACTGCCACACCAGCCCCAGGGCCGTTGTTATTGGCACAGTCCAAAGAACACATTCCTGACCCATTTCCAGCAACAGTTCCTTTAACATCCTCCTCTTGGCCCCGAGAGGGCTGGAGGAAGAAGAGTTGACCAGGTGGGGGATCGTCCGATGTGGGGTCAGAGGAATTACCAACACCCCCACCTCCCCCACTGGGCATAGCAAAGCACACAGTCTCTTCCTGCACATTCTCTGTACTGTCTTTGCCATAAAACACACATTGGTCAACAGCACCTGTCACCACCACCTCCACATGGAAGCCAGTCACCCGCTCCCTCCCCACACCCACAGCTTTCTTCTCCCCAGAGGTAAGCTCCTGGGTTGGATCTGGACTGCCACAGGCTTGCCTGTCGGGGTGATGGAGGTCTCCATCTGGTTTGGGGGCAGCAGTTGTGGCAGCAAGCAGCAGACTACCGGGGTCTCTAGATGAGGGACTGACAAGCTGGTAGAGGTCACAGGTGATTTTCTCTTTGGCCCTGGCTGCTGCCTGGTTACCTCCACCACCACAGCTCATAAACATACAGCGGGACCTGCCAGCTGGCTCCAACTGAGACCGTGGATCCAGATTTGACACTCGGAAAGCTATCCTAACCTCACCATGACTGTGACTGGGGGGCGGAGGAGGGGTTACCATGCTGGACTCCCCTCCTCTTTTCCGCTCGCTGTCTCTTTCTTGATTAGAAGAGTCTGTTCCTGGCCCAGCCCCCAGACTGGACAGGTTCTGGGACTCAAAGTGTGC